GTGAACTTTAGGTACCCCAGCTTTAACAACCATCACGCTGCTGTGGCTGTCTGGGTGAATGACAGCTCTCAAACAGCGCTGTAGTACCATCATACACCTGCAGAGGGCGTGCGTCGCAGGCTCAGCATACACACACACACACACACACACACACACACACACACACACAGGCTGACACGGGCGGTCCTTCACTGACTCCACTCCGAGCTCGTCTCTCCTCAGCCCACAGTCTCTGCCCGAGCCTGCCCTGCGCCTGGACCAAGTTAGCCGACTCTTTCCCCTCGGAACACCGCCGTCTGGTCCCCTTCCAGCAGGTAGGACGCACCACCGCGGGGCTTTGCTTGGGGACAAGTTTGGCACGGATGTTTGGTGTAGGACGTCTGATTACGTTTCGGAGCGTGTCAGAACGTTCTCACGCCGTAACTTCACAGGAATCTGGCGTCCACAAACCAAACAATATACTAGCGTCATGCCTGTGTTATTAACGACACTGGAATGCCATGGGAGGATCAGGACTACTTGATGGCCTGATTTGTGTTTTGGCTCCTTGCGATTTTTAATGTCAACCGAGTTACGTTTCTGCAGAGACACCCCTTCAAGTGCTGCCAACGCTATTTTTAGGGAAAGTCTAGTAACCTGGTCTGTAGTAGTGTTGGGGCTTTCTTTCAGTGTTACAATGTGTTTTATTTTGTAATTTATAATAGTTTTTTGTAGTTAAATTCTCTTGATGAATGTTTATAGTGACAGTAATAGTGACAGTCATTCAAATGCCTTGTGTATTATTTTGTTTGATTACAATAACAACAATGAGAAACATGTATTGTTTTCTTTGTTTGAATTTGAATAAGTCTGTGATGTGTTTGTATGGCTAATTATCCAATGAATGTGAGTAGAGTGTTGAAATAATTTACTTTGCCTGCATTGCACACTGGTGCTGAGTGGACCCCTATATCCAACTCAAAGTGCTTATCAGACTCCAGCTGTATATTTCATCACTCAGATAAGACAGATGAATAGCTTGAACCGAATTCGCTTTGAATGATTGTAACGTACAAAGACTGAAATGATCTAGTTTAAGATCACAGCTTCAAAGTATAGCAGCAAAACATAACAAGAATTTGACAGATACTCATCCATATCCTAATCCTGAGCTAAAAAATAAATCAAGAATCCCTTCAAATCATATTGCTTACAATGTTCCTCCCATTTTCAACATTTTCAATGTACACATACAAGTACAAAATGTTGTATGGAAAACAATCTATTGTATTATTAACTTCCGCTCTTACTGAAACCATTTTTAAGCTGCATCATGAAAGCCTTATAAAATAGTTATATATTGCACTTGGGTTTGTTGCCATGCGTCTTAATGGATCTCATCTGTCTGTAATCAATAATGTGGAGCTGCTCATGTATGTCTCATGTTTACGAGTCAAGAGGCTGCGGTAGATTATGTTCTGGCGAAAATCAAATAGTGATTACAACCAAACAGACAATGCACTAATTATATCTGATTTACTGCTCTTGGGGTGAGAGAGTGGTGCAGTTGTTCAACTTTTGCCCATTAACTAAGGGTGTGTGTTGCCATGTGCTTATTCTCATGTGAAGATGTAGGGAAACAGTCTTTGTAGTCGATTATTAAAAAAATAGGGGTAAAAAATGTATTTTTCATCGGGCATTGCCAAGTGCCCGATGAAAAAGCTCTCGTAACCACGGCCAGCTCATGAACAAAATAATTATTTAGTGCCACAACCGCTATTGTTAATGTCCTGTAAGAAAACAAAATTAAGCACCTAACATTTCCAGGAAACTTCAAAGTGCTACAGATTAAAATACAGTACAACAAACAAACAAAGTAAACAAAGCAAAAAAACCTGCTCTGGTTTTTTGCTTTGTTCTGCTTTGTTTTGCTTTGTTCCGCTAAAAGAGTCCTGTTTCAGAACTTGTTTGAATTGGTATTTTCCAACATGGAACTTTGAACGATGCATGTAGTTTGTTCACATGTTTTCAAGTCAATTACCAAATTTAGTGATGTTTTGTAACGTGTAAATACTGACGAATCAGTTAGATAAGATAAGCTAGACTTTATTGATCTCACACAGGATGAGAAACACATTTGGCATGGATAGAACGAATAAGTTGTATATTTCTTGCTTTATTTTGATGTGCGTCCACACAACAACAATCGTGTTTAGCCAAGAGCTGGCCTTGCTCTTATATATGACTCTGTATTTGTCCCAAACAAAGTATGGATGCAGCAGGAGTTATCCTTTTCATAGTCCGTTATTTTGGGCCTTTAAGAATGTAATATGACAATTTAGTGGAGGATTTTCGACCCAATTCTTCAATAGTCCCCCCACCTTTTAATCAGGTTAACAGTGTATTTACAAAAAAGCCATTGTCCTTGTACTCTGGTTGTATCGGCCACAACGTTTCGATATTGGCTTTAGAACAGACAGACTTTGACAGATTTTGTAAGTAAATTGCATGTTTGAATTTGAAAAGTCTAGACAAAATCACAACCTAATTTGATTCCTAAACGGCAGCTTACGCCCCATCTGCTCCTTCTAGCCGCAGCCTATATAAATGCTTTATCATTTGCTTATCTAATGTGTCTTCTGTTTAACTGGCTTAATTCAATTTTTCTTTTTATCCGAACACTTTTTTGCTTAGACGTTTCTTCTGACAATAAAACTGAAAAATGCATTTTTGTCCGCATCGCCCACCCCATAGTTTACAATGGTGAGTACATGAAATTAAGTGTGGAATCGCCATCAGTCTTCAAAACAAGAGGCTAAAGACACCGTTGTGTGTTGCTTTGGTTGTTTAGACAGTTTAGTGCTGGAGTAGGCTCAAATTTGGTGGTGTGGATTAAATTGACAAAGCATAATTTATCATTATTCGGAGAGCAGCCATCAGATGTGCTAAAATGTGTCTGTTGATTTGGCTGGAGGATCAAGTATTCTCTCAAAGAATAAAAAACAGGATTGTTACCTTTTTATACTTATATTTTATCTTTATATTTTACATTATTTAGCTGTGGCCTTTGGTGCGTGTTTTGCATTGGTGCTGCAAACAATTTATGGGAAAAACGACACAGCCGAGGGGACGATCAAGCCGACCACTTACATTGTGACAACGTTTCGTTAATGGCGATTACCTCATGCCCTGGTAGTGCCTGTACGGAGACATTCCGGCCATGCTATCATGTATGACGCACTCTGTGATAGCCGTAGCAAGAATTCTCCATACACCCGAAGCCCGTGTCCCCTACCGCACGTACACCCATAACCCAGCGAACGGCAAAACACCTTGCACACTCTTCAGCGCCAACAGGCTAAATCCCACTGATAGTAGCTAATAATGTATCCTAGAATAGCGATTGAGTGTTATATGATGCACATAATATATAGACCAGGGTAACACGGTCTGAATACAGGCCGATGTCACACACTCGATCGCACTGCGAACCAGTAAGGGAAGGACCCCCTGGGGAGATGGGCCCAGTTGGAGCACCAGTGGGTATTTGCTAAGGGCATCGCACCGGGCCAGTTCTATTTCTACAACCCCCCCCATGCCACCAGTTGTGCCCGGCACTCATACATATGATAGGGATTTTTTTATTCTTAATCTCAATGTTTTAAAGTAAATATTATTACAGACTAGGGCTGGAGATTGTTTAAAGTTTCCAATACATACATGGGCACAATTTTAAACAACATTATTAGTGCATGAAGTTTGATTCTTGATGCTTTTGTTTGCAACGCAAAGGTCTTTGACGATTACAAATGATCCAATACATCAAAAAATAACAAACTCAAAAAAAAAATATCTAATTAAAAAATATCATTATCTAAAATATGTTTTTTAGTGAACTCCTCTAAACACTTTCACTTATTTAAAAAAACGAGTGAAAAGTTTAATATTGCAGTTTAGTGCGAACAGCGAAGGCAGGTGACATACTGTGATATTAGTCCGAAGCAGAGGCTGGATTTCCAGCATGTTGTGATGTCACATTTGGCTGCACAGAGCAGGCAGCGCCCACCCCCCCCCTACAGTCGAGGGGCTCTGAATTCCCCTGCACAGCAGCCAGCGCCAGTCTGGGCAGGTCGAGGGCGCATTGTGCTGAACCCTGAGTGATTTTATTCAAGGCGCCTCCACAACCCCATTACATAAGTTCAGTCGGAGCTCTGCTGTGATGATGGGCAGCAGTAACACTGGGGCTGCCTCGCCTACCTTTTCCAAGGAGCGGGTGAGTTCATGCAGTGGTGAATGTCCTCGGGCTTTTTAGCGTGTTTTGATCTTGATGTTTCAGTTCTTTCCACTCGCACCCACCGGTCTACAGCTGCAGCCTCAGTTCCTCCCATAAGAGAGCCAAGGGGAAGCCCTGCTCTGAATGGAACTGTGTCAATTCAAGATTGTAAGTTTGAGCTTGCATAAACATGTGTCATCTGTGCCCTAGACGAGATTCAAATGTTTTAGAGACGAACAACATGGAAGAGAGGTTGTGTTCAAATGTTTTACAGTGAAGCAAACCACCCACAGCCCACAAGGTAAAGCACGAATAACGTGGATGTGTGAGATTATCTTCGCCCCCGCACAAGCATTGCAACTTGACCCAAACAGCACCACCAGGCCTGTTTGAGGGTAATCCACCCCAAGTCTCTAACGACAAAGTCCCGTCAGCACCCAAACCCTGATACCCCCTCTTCTATCCCGCGATCACCGTTACCACCTAGTATATTCCCGCCCCTACCTCGGACCTACCCTACTAAATCTAATATCCGCCAAACCGGTCATACAACCTTCACTCCTATACACCCTCTCCTACACACCTGTGGGGATTTTTATCTGTTTATAGAGTCATCCACCAGTTTGCCCCCCCCCCCCAAGTCCGCAGGCTATAAAGCTAATGGGAACTAGATGACTAAAGCCCACATACGTTAAGCCAACAGTACTATAAAATACCCAAAATCCCCCAATACAAGTAGAAACTCAGGCTAGGAGTGATAAGCAGTCGGCCATGTAAAGAGCCAGTAAGCCCTCCCCCACTGTAACCCTGAACTACCAGCAGAGTCGGCCGTGGTCCACCCTATTTCCATACGCCACCACCCGGCCCTGCAAGTCCACACCTCCCCATCCAACCCACCCCCTGCAACAAACTGTACCCCCCCCACCACCAACTAACCCAACTCATGCCCAGCACCCACACGACCACTCACAACAAGCCACAACCACATCCACCCTTCCTAAACCCCCAACACCATCCATTCTAAACACCTATCCTCCCCCCCCAATCATACCTCCCCCCCCCCAACCCCATCAACACATCTCCACCCTACAATCCCCCCACCCATTATCCACACAAACCCATTACCCCACACCCAAACCCCCCACCCCTCCACCAAACAAACCCCCCCCCCCCCCCCTACCACCACCCATCTAAAATTTTTCCAATCAATAATAAACCCCTCTTCTAAAAACCCCTCCATTACCCCCCCCCCTACCCCCTCCAACCTATCACCACCACATCTCCACCTCCCCCACAAACCCCCACCCCCCACCCCCCCCCCCCCCCCCCCCAATAGTACACCCACACCCCCCCTAACAATTCCCCAACAAACCAATACCCCCACATAAACCCCACAACCCCACCACATACCCACTCCCAACCCCCCAAAACCCACCACCCACCCCCATTCCCCATCCCCCCCCCCAACCCTACCACCCCACTCCTCACCCACACCCCCCTACCCCTCCCCCCTACATCCCGCCCACCCCCATAGTACGACGCCCCCCCCCCCACCACCCCCCCCCCCCCACCCCCCCCCCCCCCCCCCCCCCCCCCCCCCCCCCCCAAACCCCCCCTCCCCCATAAACCCACCCCCCCTCCCCCCTCCCCCCCCAACCCCAACGCCCCCCCCCCCCCCCCCCCCCCCCCCCGCCCCCCCCCCCCCCCACCCCTCCCCCCCCCCCCCCCCCCCCCCCCCCCCCCCCCAACCCCCCCCCCAACCCCCCACCCCCCCCCCCCCCCCCCCCCCCCCCCCCCCCCACCCCCTTTTGAGCCAGTATTCCACTACTACCCCAACCCCCCCCGGAACTCCACACCCCCACCCCCCCCCCCCCCCACCCCCCCCCCAAGGGTTGAAAGCCCACCCCCCACAAATACCCCAAATCCATTGTCACAAGAAACAAACCTACACACCCAAAAACGTAGTTTGTGGGATATCTACCCCAACCCGTTGACACGGACCCCCCACTGTTACCCCCCATAATACAACCTCCCTGTTGTGTGTGCTTACACCACCCATACACCCCCATACTTATAGCCAAACCCCACAAGCGCGAGCTTGATTGCCGAGGGCAACACCCCACCCCACCCACACGCATAAAAACCAAACCCCCCCCCCCATATATATACACAGCATACACCACCACAGCTCAACTACAACTTACGCACCAGACCTCCCCACCCCCACCTCAACACACCCACACCCTAGAGGAATACAAAAGAGCGACCGGCAGCTGGGGAGGAAAAAAACCACAAGCACGTGAGGGAGGGGGGGGGAACCCACTTTCCAATGCCCGGTAAACACCTATATAATTGACCGGCAACAATATTATCAATGGTACAGACAAAACCCCACCAACCACACGTACTTTTTACGACCCCATTCCTATACCAATACTCTCACACAGTTAAGCACGCCTGCCCACCGAGGTGTCAGGTGGAAATCCATGCAACTATCGGATAGATGTTTTGGAATAGGATGTTCTTTCTTTCACTATGGCCACCCGACATGTAGGCCAAGGGGACACGGGGTGCCCTTGCGAATATAACCCGAAACCCACCCAATGTGTGGGTAAGCCCCCCCCCCCGTGGGAACCAAAAAACCCCCCCCCAATAAGTCGCACGGGATTCCCCCCCCCACCAGCCCCACCGAGCCGGGGAGTCTGGATACCCGCCGATACCCACTCGAACAGTATTCCCGGGGGCGTACGAACTATGGGCCCCCCCCCAAACCTCCAAGCCGGTCCACCCATATACCACTTCAACCAAGGCCCGGGCCCACATAATACCACAAGTTTACAACCCCTACAACCACTTATGTGTCCTAATGGCCCCCAAACCATAAAACGCGCAGAAGAGGAACCCAAACCACCAAACAAACCCCATACCCCCATATAACGCCCCCAACAATACCCGACCGGAGCAACCAGGAAAATAAAACTTTATATATAATAAAAACTGTTGTTCGGTGGGGACCACTAACAACAAAAACCCCCCCCAATACACGTGGAGATCCCAATATATGGGAACACCAAAAACCCACCACCCTATGTGTCCAACCCGCATGCGTAGGACCCCCCAACCAGATTGGAAAACACTACCATCCAAAATACAAGTTGACTAATATCCTACCACCCCAGTGGAAACAACAAGACCTAGAAAGATCAGCAGACCCCTAATTTACACACCTATGCCGGCCAGGTAACACCATCTCAGATATACAAACACTAGATGCCAGAGATCCAGCGGGCAATATAAAAAGCCAGATAGGGATGGCTGCGCTGCAAGGCCAGTGCGGGGATGTGGGGGACAGGAGTCGGCCGGAAAACCCATCAAAAGCCATGCCCACAACAAACGTAAAATGAGACCACGGCGGGCCACCATCCCCACCCCAAAGATGTGCGCCCTCCACAAATCAAGTGTGGTTGACCCCACCGGGGGTGAAACCCCACACGTGGTGTCTATCCAATATTGAATGATGGAGTCGGACCCCCCACGTATCACCCCCCCCACCCATCCTCAAGAAAAATCTAAGGACACATATGGGCCCCAAGGCATTGTGTCCAAAAAGAAACCCCAGATAGAACTATATATCACCCACAAAAAACCAACCAATTGTATGCCCGACCCACCCGAAACTGCACTACCCAAACGCAACACGTCACACCAACCACAAAACTAGCTTATCTATAGACACCCTACCATCATATCACCCCCCCCCGACCATACCATACCATCATTCCCCCCAGCACACCCCCCGAGCAAAACCCAACCTCAGTCCGACCAGGAGATCCCCTGATAACATGGTGGACGACAAGCTGAGCATAAGAGCCGTACAAGGCTCCAAAGCAAGGCTGAAGGACCCGTTAGCCCCTCGACGAGTCGGGGAGGGCAAAAGTCCAGAAACACCTCCCCGCCTCATATACCGGTCGACCCCCCTCATAAGACCGCGCCAACCCAGGATCCAAAAACAGCCTCAACCCCGAGTGACGCCGCTATGGACCAGACGCCCAGCAATAGAATAGAGATTATAGGACAACGGTCCCAGCCAACGAAATCGCCACACCTACGAAGCTGGACTTTATCATTAAAGGGGGCGCAAGAACAAGCCGCCGTAGAACCCCCGTGCCAAAGTACACATACCCTTAACAGAGCGGGCCTCCAGACGTTAAAGCCATTAGATCTAAAACCTACCCCCCCTAAGGATGATTGGGGACGGTGGAATGTAATGAAGCGAGATTCAACCCCACCACGGTCGCTGGAGGGGCGGCAGTTCAACGCTCCCCAAACATACCCGAACCAGAGCCATGGAAGGAGGCCACACGGAGGGCCACACAACCGAGTTGATAACACAGGGAGCCTTTGCGAAGGAGTGCCGCCCCCTCCCCCTCCCCCCCCCACCTCCCCCCCCCCCCCCCCCCCCCCCCCCCCCCCCCCCCCCCCCCCCCCCCCCCCCCTCCCCCCCCCCCCCCCCCCCCCCCCCCCCCTCCCCCCCCCCCCACCCCCCCCCCCCATCGGAAAGTCATATTATAGACTAACAAATGAGATAATAGTAGTTCGCATGACCCAACACCTCCCCCCCCCACATATGGTGTTTACGAATTCACAACAACCAACCGCCCCCCGAGGCACTGATACCAGACTTCCTGCAACTCCACCATAACACCCCCTAGTCCCACACCCCCCCCCCCCAAGGGCCCCCAACACATATAAATAACACCAAACGTACGGACCACCTGGCATTACAATTTAAACCTCACCATAACCAAACCACGTACCCATACATCTCCAGAGATAGAGTCCATTGGTGTCGTTATGTAAAATTAAAGGTTAAAAAACAATTAATACTCCCCCAAACGCCCCCGGCGAAATTGCCATAACCAGTATGTGCAACGAGTTGAGGCACCACTAGAGCGGCCCCTGTGCGTGACACTCAGATTGGGAACACGAGAGGACACCACCCCACCCAAAATCGAATTGGGGAAAAGGAATCATCCCGGTACTAACTATCATTGGACATCTGGGTCCCTGGGGGAGGCAACACCCCACAACCCAAACCACCACCCCCGACACTCCAAAAACCCCCCACTACTACTCTTGGTGGAGTAACCCAAACACACCACCTTTCCCCCACCCAAACCCCCCCACTCAAAAAGCCCTCTTATCTATCCCACCGATGCTGGGGGAGGGAAACCATAACACCTCTAGGTAGGCGCTGTCACCCACCATAGGGGTCTCACACCCAATAAGGGCAACCACACCCCCCACATATCAACCCCCCCTTTCTGCGCAACAGTCCCTACCCCCCCCCCCCCACCCTTGGCCCACACGCCCAACCAGTTGTCTCCGCGATCGTTAGTGCGGTAGTCGGTGGGGTCAACACTAAACCCCCCCCCCCATTCTCTAGCACAGGCCACTAAGGACCCCACCCGATATACATACAATGTTCTTCAAGCGGACACCATTTTATCTAGTGGAGCACCCACTACTTTGTGCCTCATGAGGAGCGATAACCCGCGTCAAGAAAGTACCCCGGCGAAACCGCGAGACCCTAACCCCCCCACCCACGAACGGACGACAAATTCCTTCCCCCCACCTCACAACAACTCCCCTTCCCCCACACACCACACATACAAGGGTTGGTTGGCTTCCAATGTCTGTGCAGCAGAAGACGATCTGACCCATCACAGGGGTGGAGGTCAAAAGTGGAACACAACCGTTTACCCTAACAGCTCACTCACGGACCCATAATGAGCTCATAAGAGAGATGTACGAAACGGGAGAACAATACGGGGTGTGATTGCTTATTAGAATGCGGAGGAATGCTGGGCAAATACACGGATGCATGCGAGGGCTGGGTGTCGCCGATATGCCCCAATTACAGCAATTAACCTAGCGCAAACGTGGCATGACGCCCACCCCCAACCATCCATTCAGAGCAGCGAGTATGATATGCAACGATAAAGGGGGATGGAACAGATACAAGGGGGGAAGATATGATCTAACAAGGCCGCCCTCTCATAAGCAAACCCAAAAGAACAATCAACATAACAACACCACCACCACCTGTTATAGAGTCGATTTAAGGGTTGACCCCTACCCTTCATCAGACATGACTGTCACTACCCTTCATCAGACATGACTGATGAAGGGTAGTGACCCAAAACGGCAAAACGTTGTTTTTTCATTGTATAAATGCTTTGTTGTTTCAGTCTAGATTATTATCTCATCAGTTGAACTCTATTGTCAAAACTATGCACATAATTATTAGTTGTATGAATCTTGGTTGTAGCTGGTGCTTTTACTGTGTTTTGTTTGTTTCTCATTGGGGAACACCGGGGAAACCGCTCTGATTCACTCTGTGCGAATCATTATCAAATCAGGAAGTGAAGAATCCGATTACAGATCGACTGGAGATCCTGCAAAACAACAAATGCGATGATTTAGTCCCATGTCAGAGTAATCGCAGCGTCCCAGCCAAACAGACACTCCACGGTCTGCTATTGACCGGCAGCTGTTTAGTCTTGATTTTCTGTGGGTCAAAATCAAACAGTTTTGAAAAGCCACACAAAGTGACTGCTGTAGGGACACTGGTCTTGACAAAAATACTTTGTATAGAGAAAAATATGTACGGTAGTTATTTTAATATTGCCGACTGAATTTGACAAATGGAGTGAAATCTTTTATTCACATCCAAATAAATATTCCTCCAAACCTATCAAATTTGTTCTAGGATTATTTTTGAACATGGTTGGTTCAAAACTCATTATCTTACTCAGTGACATCAAGAACATCACTTTCACAATGAATACAATGAATGATGGGTGGCTTCTCCGATTTCCATTTCCATAAATCATTACACCATGATATTACATTACATAAATCATTGTTGTTTTTACATACATTTCTCATTAGTTCTTGCCTCACACATGTCAATACTGTTGTCAACATTGCTGCGTTTTAGAGGGCTTTAAGTGCGCCTCAAGTGGACTGAATGTAGGTTAAGGATGAACGGATAGAGCCTGACATTAGAGCCTGACTTTTGCAGTATGGTCTCTGCATCTTATGGTCTCTGTGAGATGGGTGAGGTAAGGGTGAGGATATTTAAATCCATCTAACTTATCACAATCCTTTGGAACATCATTAGTATTCAGAAGCAAGAATGTTTGGCCACCAGCACAACCACGGAGCAGCTCTCACACAAAAAAAAGTGAATCAGGATGGATTATCCCCACAGCAGCCAATCAGATCTTTGCCCAAAGGGTCACATAGTAGCTCACATGGCTCTGTAAGCTTTAAAAACTCAACCATATGAATAAAGCAGAAAATACTCAGTAAATGCAAGAAGAAAAATTGGGAAATGTTAAAAGTAGCATGCCGAATTTGAACCTGGGTCAACCCTAATCCCTCATTGGTCATACTTCAGTGCTGTATTTCCTCAGCCCCCGACTCACAGTTGAAACCATAGTTTGCGTAACCTTGTAAATTAGCTGCTAATCCAGCCCCTGAGAGAACAGCCAAAATGCATCTGATCTTGATTCGAGTGCAACTTGAGTCTCCTAAAAAAGAAGCATTTGAAAACAAGTCAATTTTCACTTGACATAATTGGAAATGCTAAACCAACTAGTTGTAGTGACTAATCTCATTTTCATTCAAAATATTATTAACACGCATTTCCTTATCTTAGAAGTCTTTCTTTTCTCAGATAATCTCATTCTTCCATCTGAAATAAATCCATTCTCTGATGTAGTACTATGAGAGAACAATACTTCTCTTCAAAAGACTTATTTTGTTATTCCAGTCTGGCAGTCGTGGAAAGACACATGTTGTTGTCTTCTTTTGGATAGTACATTAAATTAAAAGCACATTTACTATTTCCCCTCAAAGAAAACACATCCATCCCGTCTTTACATTTGTTGTTTGGTCTTGACAGTGATATTCCACATTAGAGTCTGCCGTGAATGAAAAATCACTTAGACGTAAACATACTTGACTCGTGTTCTCCAAAACAGCATTGTAAAGTTGGTGCATGTAGTTTTAAAAGGTCCATTATATCAGGGGTAATGGAAGCAGAGTGCCTCCTAATGTTGTTATGGAGATAATAGCACTTCACTCGTGCGCCCATCACAGATATCCCACTAAACTTCAACACCTGCGTTGGTCTTTATGAGGATATATCTGAAAGAACACGCTGAAACTTTTCCACTGGACGCTCTGCACTGATCCCGCTGTCAGGAATACTTCAAGCTACTACTACTTCATACTTCAGAGCATTTACTGTATGTCTTGCATTCATTCAATTATTAGTGTTGTTATTGTTACGTGGTGCTCATTTAAATGTTTTTGTTCCTATGTTCCTCTATTGTCTTTAATCCACTCTGCGCCTTTTCCATTTCACAATTTATTACTTTTATCGACTGCATTATTTATTTGCATATCGGTCTGAATTAGCCTGGCCTTAGCCATCCATAAACTCAGGTCAATTATAATTTCCCTACATGTACGAAATGACATTAGTACAATGGTATGGTAAGACCAGGCTAGCTATGAATTCATACACTGCCTAAAAGTGGTTATGAACATGACTGGATTTATAATAATAATAATAATAATACATTTTATTTAAAAACGCCTTTCAAAACACCTAAGGACATTGTACAGGACATAATAAAAACATTAAAAACAAGAGCAACAGAATAAAACAGTTGTGCAATATGGAATGGTGGGTGCGTGTGTGTTAGGTGGAGTAGGACAGTCTGAACAGATGGGTTTTGAGTCTGGATTTGAAGAGTGGAAAAAAGTCAATGGTACGGAGGTCAGGGGGGAGAGTGTTCCAGAGCTGGGGGGCAGAGTGGCTGAAGGCTCTGTGTCCCACGGTGATGAGTCTGGCTGGGGTGACGGAGAGTGTGAGAGTGGAGGCCGAGCGGAGTGTGCGGGCAGGAGTGGCAGGGTGGAGGAGGTCAGATAAGTACGGAGGGGCCAGGTTGTGAAGTGAATTATGTTTTATTTTATTTTTGTGCAGATTTGATCAGGAAACATAAATGATCTATTCATGGAACTATTAAGTTTTGCATAAAAAAAGATTTGGAAAGCAAGATTAGACGAATAATAATAGGCATGTTTTCAGTCTGCAAACCAAGCCCATCCTCATTCACGATACTGACATGCTGTGAGGTCCTGCAGAACTATACTTGGATTAAGACTGCATATAGACCGCAATATAGTGATTTGATTTTGATCTATAATGCTACATAACTGTTGTCGATGTCACTGGCCAGTTGTGTGTTTGCATGTTCTCCTAGTGTCCGTGTGGGCGTCCCAGTGTTTCCCTCATTACTTAACCAGGCAAAAAACCTGCACCGTCGGCTAATCCCACACTTAAGTCTCCTCACCGTGAAGCTATTGCTCAAGATGTAAGGAATCACACTGCGGTCGCCCACAGCCACAGTTTCCCCTAATGCCATTGAAGGAGAAGCCTTTGGGCACATGTCTTGTTAAAAAGCAGTAAAATCTTCCTACAATACTTCATTTTAGCTTGATTTTACTCCAATATATATCAGTTCTCACCAAGAAGAGCAAAAAGGACAGCTGGGGCAAAAAATTCAGAGATATGCCATTTGATTATAATCTTTCAAACAATTGGCGTATTTCTTTATTTTGAAGGGTTCTTGTTATTGTGGTGTCCTTGGGCAAGACACTTTGTATGAGTGATGCACTAAATGCAATGTCAGCAATGACAATTGAATTGAGTGTGTATTGTGGAGCTGATGACATAGATTTGCAACCTCACTCCTATTCACCAAAGTCTTAATGTAGAATATTAAAGGAAGCCAGTGCAGGGTTTTTTCACCTGAATGTAAATTTTATGTAAATTCAACATAAACAAAATGAAAAGCCTGCATGTATGAGTCATTCACACGAGGGCTGGGCAATATAGCACCATTACCGGTATAGTTTTCGGTGACGTCTGAAACTGAAATACCGCGATAGTATTTGTGCGTACATGCGCTGGTCATGTTTACCTTTGGTTTAAGCGTGTGCAGAAAAAGCAGCTGGGCAGCTGCAGGCACTCAGCAGTAAAGAGTCCCTCTGGACAGTCCTTTCTCCTGTTGCGCCAAACCTCTAAGTGTTTTCTCCGTGGGTTACTGGGCCCGCTGTGTCAACACCATGACCCTTTTCAGTGTATTTTCCAGGCTGCTAAAGTCACTTTAAGGCAGTGCTTCTCAAATAGTGGGGCCCGCCCCCCTGCCTTGTGGGGTGTGGTGCCATGCCATGGGGGGCACGTGTGAATCTGCTAAACAAGTGTAATTGCCCATGGATCTGGGTGCGCATCCCCTCACTATTTGGGATGGGCGCGCAAGACCGCGGCCAAAACTTGTTGTTTTTTGCTGTACGTCCTCGAACGGGATTCCACATCATCCGGTGCCGCAACGTTCTGACAACAGCACGGCGAGCGCGCAGCGGTTACATTGCCATAATGTGACCAGCAAGGTTAGGACAAGTGCCTGTCTTTGCGTAACCTGTGCATGTGATAAGTACGCCACTGCAAGAAACAGAGCTGGACTATGGAGCCTGGAGTGTCCATGTCTCCCCTGTGTCTCCTCCCGCAGCGCAACTAAATTAAAGAATTATTGCATTAACAATGCATGTTGGTTGCGCCCAAAAGTAAAATGCTGTGAACAAATCAAACAGAACAAACCACAACAAGCTGTTTTTTGTTGTTGTTGCATACTTAAGAAAGAGCCCTTTGAGTCAGTATTTGACTTTTTGAGCCGAGAGTGGATATCATGAGCCTCCTTAAGAAGTAAGGAGGGGGGGTGCGAAATTTTTTCTTCTACCTAAGGGGGGCCTAGTAGAACATTATTGAGAAGCAATGTTTTAAGGTAAAACCATAGACTGTAGTTAAAATACTGCTATAAGATAGAGACAAACAAAGAGCAATATTGGACTAATTATAATAAAGTTGTGCAGTTTTGAAAGTTTTTTACACAGCGCTATTCATACCAGTTTTTTGTTATTGTGATAATCCGTCTCATATTATGAGATCGCCTAGCCATTATTCACACCAGAAGTTGTTTGAAAGTTTGAAAAGAGCTTTTAATACTACACCCATTATTAAAAATACATTAGTACTATAATTGACAGCAGTTTCCTAACACGAGACTTCCTCTTTATTGTTGCCTACCTAATTGTTTTGGACACTACAAAACATTTATTTGTGTTCCTGTCATTAGCAGATCACTTTGCTGAAGTATTTTTAGTGAAGCAATTAGTTTGGAGTGCGTTTGAAGAGCTGCACTCACAGGACCGGCATGTGACATATTTACATTGTGTGCACCTCGGCGCGGTCTGACATTTTAGAACTCTTCCTCATGTCGTCGGGGCAGTCCCTCCAAACCGCTGCCACCACTAGAGGTGTAACGTTTGTTTCACACCTGCTCTGCACAAAGTCGCATGCAGCTCAAAATAACAGACTGAATTCTGTAAAGGATTTTTTTTCTTTGAGAAGGATTTGACAATATGTAGTTGATTTGTGGAGCCCTGTTTGCAGAATCAGTCCTGGAGCATTGGCTGGATCAGGGGCAATCATCAATAAAGTCAGAACTGATTCTCTGCATTTCTATCTGTATCAAGTGAATTAAATTAACTTGTGAAAGAGGAAGACAAATTTTCCCTCTCTTTTCTTCTGAATGGGGCTTCACATATCTTAAATTGAATATTTAGTCACAATAATTACATGTGTACATATTTATTGTACAAAATGTTGCGTCCATTGGAAAAAATAACAGTATACATATTTGAAATAAGTTATTTTCTTTCCTCAGTCGGCCCCCCGTGTGTAATAAATTAATAATACACAAAATTATAACGCAACTTTGTGACTTGTCATACTGGTTTATTAGGTTTGCTGTCTTTGCAATTAGGAGTTTAAATCAATTGTATCTTTTGGACAGGAAAGTGAAAGTCAATTTATAGATCATGATTTTATAATATTTCAGACTCAAATTAAATTGGTCCATATTTAAAAAAATATATAAAAAATATAGTAATACAAAAAAAGACAAAGACAAAAAAAAGATTTACCCAACATAGGGTGAAATATTTCAAGCCTTTGTATAAAATAAACGGGTACATGAAATAACATGTACTTGCAAAGCAGAAGTATTACTGATTGTAACCATAGCATTACACCATCCTCAGTAGTTCCTGGCGTGATGCATTTTTCCAGCAGGCTCTGACTTGTCTCGCTTCGATCTGTATTTTTGTCGGTTCAAAGTGATTCCCTGCGGTTTGTGGGAGTCACTCGCTCCCTCACAGCAATGCTTCTTCTGCAGAGCTCTGAATGGTCCTTAAAAAGCCTCCCTCCTCTCCCTCATCTCCCTCATATCTCTGTTGTCCTGTTTGTAGAGCCGCGCAGCATGTCGGCCCCCGCACACTCCGAGGTGAAGGAGCTGAGTCCTGTCGACTTCATACAGCTGCAGCAGTACATCGAGTGTGAGTACATCATTGTCCCCGCAGAATAAGTACAATAAGTATAAGAATATCTTCTGTCTGTCTGCCTTCGTGGCATATGCAAGATATCGAGGTCTAAACTTCTGGCATAATAGAATGAGGAACCCTACTTGTACTCATAAAAATGCGCCAAATCCAACAAGAGAAAATTAGCATAATTTTGCTGTGCATTAGTGGCTTTAACATAAAGCTGGGGTAACTAACTTTCAAAACACAAAACTTCCAATATGAATTCAAATCTAAATAGTTGGCACTCACATGTTAACTTGGCCAGACTTTTCATAGAGAATAGTGAAGACTACAGGACCATAATCTCTCAGCTCTCCGCCTAACGAGTCAAATAGTGGCTCACAGGTCTCGCTCTTATGTTTTAAAATGTTCATCTGTGTTTATTATTCTTAATACTTATTTTTAGCACATTAAACATTAAACAGTAAACATTACCTTAACAAGTGCAGTGGGCCTGAAATTGTGGTGAAAACGGGGGGACTGTCAGGACAATGTTGTTAAAATAAGAACATTTAAATGACTCAAATACGACTCAAACCGAAGAGAACTTTGAGACAAAACAGGAGTTTTATGTTTCTGTTGTGGGTGTTTTGAAACAACAAATATGCGCGTCCATCCATCCATCCATTTTCTTCCCCTTAATCCATTTCTGGGTCGGGGGGGTGGCAGTCAGAGCTGCACCCAGGACACAGAGCACCAGCCCCTCACTGATCATCCGGCAGGTGGTGAGTCCACAAGAGCCTTTATCTTTCAGCAGGGGCTTCAGGCAAAGTTGGGTTAAGTGTCTTGCCTAACACAGCAGAGAGCAGTGTGAGTATGCACGTATGATGTCATGACTTGAAAAAAATATTCACTGTATTTTTACTCAAGAAGTACATGTTAAATTGCAGTATATATCTTTATTTTATCTAGAACAGGGGTGCTCAATACGTCGATCGCGATCTACCAGTCGATCGCAAAGGTAGTATTGGTAGATTGCATTAAATAAATAAAAAAATTACACATTCTAAACGAATATATACAAAAAACTCCGGGCAAAGTGGAGATTTTTGAAAACTCCGTTAATGCATTTGTGTGTAGTCAGAGATAACCGGAGTTTTGCGTTCTCGCACGCCACAGTACCCCCCTAAATTCCTCTAATCACTGAAGCATGGATCATACTACCTTAAAAACTGTTCGCTGTGAGATGCTCGCAGCAGCAAACATCCTCCACATCAGAGAGCAGCAAAGTGATCGCGGGGACTCACGCTCGAAAACAACCAAACCAGGAGGGCTAAACCAGGCTAAACCAGGGCTAAACCAGGGCTAAACCAGGACTAAACCAGGACTAAACCAGGGCTGAGGACGGGGTCAGTGCTTGTAAACATACGTCTTTACTCTGAGTGTCTTCTATGACTGTAAAAGTGCCGTTACCGGCGTCTGCATCAGAACTCCGCCCACTTCTGTGTTTTTCCCCAACGCAGGACAGGACGTAAGAGACGCACATGTTTGGAATGTTACGAATGTGATTGATAACGCAGATGTGTGGATGCAAATTATTTTATAAACTGAGGAGGGGAAATATTTGGATTTTAAAAAAACAGGCATGGCACATGGACATGGCACCACAGTCAAATGACATCTGTGTTTTACTCAGTAAAGTTTTACTGACACTTAGGTGACTGCACATGCGCAAACAACCGCGCTCAGTGCAGGAAACATGGATCTATTATATTAACTGGATAGGGTATTACTAGCTTGTAGCTGAATAACTCATGTGCTCAGGGGATTCTCGCGGTACTGCAGACTGAACCAGACTAAATTCACGTTGGCTACCCAGAAATTTTCCCCATAGAACTCAATGCATATTAAAACAGCTCAACCTCAGCTGACAGAGAACCTACAGCTTTAATAAAGATCGGATTTTGTGGGGATTTTGGTGTCCCTTGTCATCCTGAACTTTTTTTCTTCTTAAATCTTTCGGTTTTCTTTAAATCCACACTTTAGTGCCACAAATTCTGCTCCTCTGGCTCTCGCTCTAACTCCCGCTCTGATGAACTGCTCTGATTGGTCAGAGCGCGGCCGAGCCCCTCTGTGCACGTGCGTGAGACCCGGTGTGAGACCCACACACGCGTGTTTGGCGCAACGCATTATGGGAGATCATCCACTGCGCAGAACCGGGAGGACCAGACGATGCCCAAATACAGGCGAGTTTCCCATAGATCTTTGCGAGTTTCAGGCAACTTCCGCTAATCTTTCAGCCCCCATGCCGTCACAAAGCGCCACTGAGCACAACCATTCATTTGAATAGGGCGCCATCTTGGATCGCCGGGGCTTGGCAGGAAAGCTAAACCACGACAAACTTGTCAGCGAGTTACCACCAATTTTCCGGACTATGCATCCCTGGCCGATTCAATTCAGTGCAAGTCATAAGAGTAAACTCGGGTAATGACAAAAAATGTACATAGGTAATTGTGTTGTGTTGTGCTATATTGGCTCATGCGGTTTTGCATGTACATAAACATACATTGTAGATATAAAGAATATTTTTTGAAATAAATATATGATTTGCATTTTTGTAGTAGGTAGATCATTTTGACTTGATCCTTTTATAAGTAGCTCGCATGCTGAAAAAGTGTGAGCACCCTTGATCTAGAATATACATTCATGGGAACCATCATTGATGCCTTTGCTCAACAAAGTTTTTAAATTCTAAATTGCTGGTTAGGTCTGATATAAGTAAATGTAATTTCAACTATGAGAATAGTTGAGAAAAAAACTATTCATTCTGTCATTCATTTTTCTCATTCTGTGTTGAGAACAGAATGAGAAAAAAAAATCCAGAATATAAAATTTTTTATTTTAAAAAATGTATTTGCAAATTATGGTGGAAAATAAGTATTTGGTCACCTACAAAGAAGAAACATAGTCCGGTAACTTCTTCTGTAAGAGGCTCCTCTGTCCTCCACTTGTTACCTGTATTAATGGCACCTGTTTAGTAAGTAAGATGGCGCCTCGTACGGTCGACATGGCTCTTTGCTGCTCTCTTTTTCTTTTGTTTTTACTTTTTAACTGTGCATCTGGCTGTTCCTACACCCGTGAGGAACTTATGAACATCCGACCCACCGTTCCCATGGACCTATTGCCTGTTTTCTTGGCATCTGCGGCTGATTTAGTTCATGTTCTAGCCAAAAAAGTGTGGGCCCGTAAAAGGGGAAAGCGCGGAGGCCTGCTCGTGCGTCTTAGGAGGAGAGGAGCGCGCACGGCTCTCCCCGGCATTTTTCTCTCCAACGTACGCTCACTGGGCAATAAGATGGACGAACTCAGCCTGCTCATGAGAAGAAACAAGGACTTCGCCACATCCTGTGTCCTCTGCTTCACTGAGACCTGGCTAAATGAGCGGATCCCGGACTGCGCTCTGGAGCTGCAGGGCTTTGGGCTGTTTCGCGCGGATCGCCATTGTGCGCTCTCAGGGAAGAGCAGAGGCGGAGGGCTCTGTTTCTACGTCAATACAAACTGGTGTAACGATGTGACAGTGATCTCCAAGCACTGCTCTCCTGCTCTGGAATATCTTTTCATTCATTGTAAACCATATTACTCCCCGCGGGAAATTGTTTCATTCATTCTTGCCTCTGTTTACATACCGCCATGCGCGGACGCGCGCGAGGCTCAGCGCGCACTCGCAGAGCAAGTACTGTGTATGGAACGCTTATACCCGGACTCTCTGATTATTATCCTGGGGGATTTTAATAAGGGAAACTTGAGCCAGGAATTACCCAAATACAGACAGTTTATCAAATGCCCGACCAGAGAGGAGAACACTCTGGATCACTGTTACACCACCGTGCGCGGAGCTTTTCGCGCTGTTCCCAAGCCAGCCCTCGGCTTCTCAGATCACTCCATGATACATCTGGTTCCTGCTTACAGACAGAGACTAAAGCTCTCGAAACCTGCAGTGAGGAGCTCCAAAGTGTGGTCTGATGAAGCTGTGGAAGAGCTGCGCGCATGCATGGAATCTACAGACTGGGACCTTTTCAGAGCTGCCACAGACAGCTTGGATGAATATACGGACACTGTGACGTCATACATCCACTTCTGTGAGGATAGCATCATTCCAACAAGGACCAGGGTCATCTATAACAACGACAAACCCTGGTTCACTGCTAAACTCCGGCAGCTCAGGAAAGCACCTTTGCTTTCCTGAGCAAAGGGAGGTCCCCCTCCCTGAAAGCAGACTCCTTAGTCTGCTTTCAGGGAGGGGGACCGCAGCGGCTACAAAGCAGCTAAATATCAGTTCAGGAAAGAACTGAAAGCAGCCAAGTCCCGGCACAGAGAACGACTACAGGAGCAGTTTGGTAACAACGATACTGCTTCTGTCTGGAGGGGCCTACGGGAGATCACCAACTACAAACCCAAAGCCCCCCCCTGTGCTGATGACCACAAGCTAGCTGACGATCTGAACTTATTTTTCAGTCGCTTTGATGCTGCCCCTGACACCTCTCCCTCCCCCACCCCCCACTACTCTAACGACCCACCCATCAGCCCTGCCCCCAGCCTAACAATAGCCGCTAAAGAGATTAAACAACTCTTCCTGAGGCTGCACCCCCGCAAAGCTCCTGGCCCGGACCACGTGTCTCCGGCCACTCTGAGACACTGCGCCAGTGAGCTTACTCCTGTGTTCACGGACATTTTCAACTCCTCTCTGCAGTCCTGCCATGTCCCGGCCTGCTTCAAATCCTCCATCATTGTCCCCGTCCCGAAGAAGCCCAGGATCACAGGACTCAATGACTACAGACCTGTAGCACTTACGTCTGTCGTCATGAAGTCATTTGAACGCCTGGTTCTCTCCCATCTCAAGTCCCTCACCTCCCCCCTCCTGGACCCCCTGCAGTTCGCCTACAGAGCCAACAGATCTGTAGACGACGCCATTAACCTGGCCCTCCACCACATCCTACAGCACCTGGACTCCCCGGGGTCCTACGCCAGGGTCCTGTTCGTGGACTTCAGCTCTGCCTTCAACACAATCCTGCCATCCCTGCTCCAGGACAAGCTCTCCCAGCTCAACGTGCCCGATTCCACCTGCAGGTGGATCACTGACTTCCTGACGGACAGGAAGCAGCGAGTGCGTCTGGGGAAGAATGTCTCGGACTCTCGGATTATAAATACAGGAGCCCCACAGGGCTGTGTTCTTTCTCCCCTGCTCTTCTCCCTGTACACCAACCACTGCACCTCCAGCCACGACTCCGTGAAGCTGATCAAGTTCGCGGACGACACCACCCTCATTGGACTCATCTCCAACAACGATGAGTCCGCCTACAGGAGGGAGGTGGACCGGCTGGTGTCCTGGTGCAGTGGTAACAACCTGGAGCTGAACGCCCAGAAGACAGTGGAGATGATTGTGGACTTCAGGAAGAGCACTGTCCCCCCGCCCCCACCCTCCCTGATGGACTCCCTCATCACCTCTGTGGAGTCCTTCCGTTTCCTGGGCACCACCATCACCCAGGACCTCAAGTGGGAGCCGACCATCAGCTCCCTCATCAAGAAGGCCCAGCAGAGGATGTACTTCCTGCGGCAGCTCAGGAAAGCCAAGCTGCCTGCACAGATGTTGGTGCAGTTCTACACGGCCATCATCGAGTCCATCCTCACCTCCTCCATCACCGTGTGGTTCGCTGGAGCCACAGTCAGGGACAAACAGAGACTACAGCGCATTGTGCGCTCTGCAGAGGAAGTGATCGGCCGCAGCCTTCCATCGCTGCAGGACCTGTACGTCGCCCGAGCTCGAGGCCGGGCTGGTCGTATCACAGCCGACCCCTCTCACCCTGCACATGGACTATTCCAACCACTCCCCTCAGGCAGGAGGCTGCGGTCCATCAGGACTAGAACCTCCCGCCACAAGAACAGTTTCTTCCCCTCTGCTGTTGGACTCTTGAACACTTCTTAACCTGTCCCCCCGCCCTTTATAAAGTCACTTTACTGCCCATCATACGTCACTTTACTTCACTGTACTGCTGTCACCTTACATTGTGTGCACCATGTGCACTTGTATATTGTAAATAGTAACTGTAACTCTATTTTAAATTTAAATTTATTCTTTAGAAGTGTTTTTTATTCTTATTTTTATTATCTCTTTTTGACTGTTGCACTGAGCCAAAGCAATTTCCAAGTCTGTGACCTCCCGTTACTTACGTTGGCAATAAAAATGATTCTGATTCTGATTCTGATTCTGTTTGAACCAGTGGGGGCGGGTCCCAGCTCAAAAGTGGCCAAAATGACGTGCGCTGACATACTTGCAATACCACCCCGGGCCGATGGGGGTGGACCCAGAAGAAGAATTAGCCAATGCTAACATATAGCGTTAGCAGACCTCTCAAAAACGTCTTTACAGGATGGACCAAAAGTTGGCTCTTGGCCCAAAGCTCCGTTCCACATGTGTGTCAATGCTGAGGGGGGTGGATTTTTTTTGGTCCACTCTAGTTTACTCGCGGGGAATTTTTGAAGAGTCTCGCTCAAATGAATGGAGCTGCGCCAGCTGACGCATGCGCAGATGCGTTTTTTCTCAATTTTCTTGTGGGCGGGACCACTCGCGGCCATCTTGGATTGCTCCATGAAAGCACTTTTCATGGCCAACTCCTATGAACGGCGGAGATAGGCGTGACTCTGTCCATTAATATATACAGTCTATGGTTTGAACCAGTGGGGGCGGTCCCGGCTCAAAAGTGGCCAAAATGACGTGAAATGCTTGCAATACCACCCCGGGCCGATGGGGGTGGACCCGGTATAAGAATTATTCAATGCGAACATATAGCATTGGCAGACCTCTCGAAAACATCTTTACAGGAAAGGTCCAAAAGTTGGCTCTTGGCCCAAAGCTACGTTCCACATGTGTGTCAATGCTGAGGGGAGTGAATTTTTTTGGACCAGGCAGTTTAGTCGCTGTGACATTTTGAAGGCACTCATTAAATGAATGGGGCTCGTGCTGGCTGACATATGTGGTGATGAGTTTTTTCACATTTTCCAGCCCCAGCAGCCTGAACGGCTGAGATAGGCGTGACTACGACCGTTAATATTTACAGTCTATGGTTTGAACTCGTTATCAGTTTGAAAGACACCTGTCCACAGCCTCAAACAGTCACACTCCAAACTCCACTATGGCTAAGACCAAAGAGCTGTCAAATGACACCAGAAACAACACTTTAGACCTGCACCAGGCTGGGAAGACTGAATCTGCAATAGCTAAGTAGCTTGGTGTGAAGAAATCAACTGTGGGAGCAATTAGTAAGAAAAGGGAAGACAAACAAGACCACTTATAATCTCCCCCAATCTGGAGTTCGAGGCAGGATCTCACTCCGTGGGGTCAAAATGATCACAAGAACGGTGATCAAAAATCCCAGAACCACACGGGGGGACCTGGTGAATGACCTGCAGAGAGCTGGGACCAAAGTAACAAAGATTACCATCAGTAACACACGACAGGGAATCAAATCCTGCAGTGCCAGACTTGTCCCCCTGCTTCAGCCAGTACATGTCCAGGCCCGTCTGAAGTTTGCTAAAGAGCATTTGGATGATCCAGAAGAGGATTGGGAGATGGTCTTATGGTCAGATGAAACCATATTAAAACGTTTTGGTAAAAATTCAACTCGTCGGGTTTGGAGGAGAAAGTTGCATCCAAAGAACACCATACCTACTGTGAAGCATGGGGGTGGAAACGTTATGCTTTGGGGCTGTTTTTTTGCAAAGGAACCAGGACGACTGATCTGTGTAAAGGAAAGAATGAATGGGGCCATTTATTGTGAGATTTTGAAGGAAAACCTCCTTCCATCATGGTCTTTCAGCATGACAATGATCCCAAACACACTGCCTGGGCAAAGAAGGAGTGGCTTTGTAAGAAGCATTTCAAGGTCCTGGAGTGGCCTAGCCAGTCTCCAGATCTCAACCCCATAGAAAGACTTTGGAGGGAGTTGAAAGATGTGTTTCCCAGCGACAGCTCCAAAACATCACTGCTCTAGAAGAGATCTGCATGGAGGAATTGGCCAAAATACCAATTCGAAAACGTTTGAGCTCTGTCATTGCCGACAAAGGGAATATAACAAAGTATGGAGATTAACGTTTGTTATTGACCAAATACTTATTTTCCACCATAATTTACAAATGAAATCTTAAAAAATCAGACTCTGATTTTCTGGATTTTTTTTGTTCTCGTTCTTTCTCATAGTTGAGGTATATCTATGATGAAAATTACAGGCCTCCCTCAACGTTTTTAAGTGGGAGAACTTGCACAATTGGTGGCTGACTAAATACTTTTTTTGCCCCACTGTGTGTGTGTGTGTTTGCGTGTGTGTGTGTGTGTGCGTGTGTTTGCGTGTGTGTGTTTGCGTGTTTGTGTTTGCGTGTGTGTGTGTGTCCATGGATTTGTTAAAGATTTGTAGACAGACGTTCTGCCCTGTGTGGGGCCCATGTCTGCATTTTAAAACAGTAAAAGAAATGATAATAATGGAACAAACTGACGTTTTGATTCTTTTGCAGAGAACTTAATGTCCCTGTGTCTCTGGAGCTCCTCAATATTATGCAATCAAGCTCGAACACAAAATTCAAATGAAAAAAAAAAATTGATTTCGAATGAAAATTATTTGGGGAATGTTCAGACAATGGCCAGACAACCCTGTTTTGTTCTGTTAATTTAATTGTTTTTGCGTGACCCCCATGCTCTGCTTTCTTACAGACTGCAGCCTGAAGGTGAAGGATGTGCTCAGAGAATTTGACCCAGATGGAAGTCTGGCCCGGCATCGACATGGAGAGGTACCATATGATGAGAGAATAGGAATAGTTCTTACTCTGTATACTTTTTATTTATTTATTATTGAGTACATTTTTGGGCTGCATTATTTCAAAAAAGTACTGGATTCTCTGTCACACATTGTGATTGGTGTGAAAAAAACAGAACAAAATAATTATTCATGATAGAAGGTCTCTGTGATTTTCTAACCCAGCAGATGTATCAATACTCTTAAGTCGGAGGTGTCCAAACGTGTTACTAAGAGCCTGAGTTACTTTAGAGTTACTTTAGTTCACCAGACTTGTCCAGGGACTGATAACATGGATTATATAAAAGATTTCACTGGAATCAGGCTGTTCTGAGCTTTAATGATATTCCCAGATTGAGTCACACCACAGCGACATTAGCACCATATAAGAATGTTGTGACACAATCGAAGACAAATGTGAGTATACAAGTAAAGTAATGACTGAACGACAAGGGTTTGAGGTTTACAACAAGGTGCAGCAAGACTAAATTGGTGGAGCTGAAGTTTGCTGGATGACACTGAAAGTTCCTCAATACCTACTACCTATGTTGAATTATGATAGGACCTGTCTGTTTGACTACAACAAGTATGTATATAAGTCAGCCAGCACTCTTCACTGGTGTTATAATGTATTAATACAGAGCACAGTATATCTTATGGTGAGTCCTATTAGCGGAGCATTAATTGCCTCGCGCTGATTAATGACACAGAAACGCATCGATCGTGTTGACAAAGCTGTTGTTGAGAAATGCTTGAGACGCATCGGAGCGGGCTGCACATGTAAATTACCTCTTTAGTTTTGCCCACGCAGCAGAGGCCTTTCTGAATCGTGCGCTGGCTTCCCCCACACACAATGAGACAGAAAAACCCTCCTCCGTTACTGTACATCATGGACCGACTGCTGCCTGCCGAATGACAGCCAGTCGATTTTAATAATGCTATAAGCACCGTGTTATTATGTGGAAAATTATAAGAAAGATGGTCACAATTACCAATTCAGGAGTCTGCATTATTTAAGTTATTTTTTTTACAACTAAATTCAGTCTCCTCCCAAATGTTAATAATCTTGGACATGTTTAATATGTGCATTTTGAAGGAATCTATTTACAAAGACAATGTTCCTAAGAATCCAGCCCTAGAATGTCCTGTTTTAATCATATCAAAAATCGTTTTGATTTACTTTATTTTATGACCTGGTTTCATGAACAACCGTTGATAAAATTAATTTGTGTTTTAATTTTGGCCAATGAATATAATCTGGATCATTGTACATGTTTTAGAATTTTAAATAGTGTTAGTTTTGAGAAAATATGTGATAAATATCATTATTATATGACTTGGACCGTACGCGCGCTGATTGGCTGATTACCGGTCTGACATTTTCCCATCTCGGACCCTTAACATGACAATTTGTCCGAACAGCGCTTATCACATTTGATATCTTTCCTGGGACCGTTACCATGACAATCTGTCCGCAGCGCGTATCACACAAAACCAAGTCGGACATGAACATACTTAAAGGCACACCGTGTAACTCTTGGCCACTAGGGGCGCTAGACCTGCAACTTTCACGTTTAGCGCCCCTAGTGGCCACAAGCAACTCAGCACTGTCGCAAAAGTCAAACAGTCAGCCGGTGTCTTTTGAGTGTGTATTCAGACAGCATGCACTGGTGTGTGTGTTCAAACTGTAGAGACATGCCTACAGATATTGAGAGACTCTGCTGTGGTCAGCCTCCAGACCGCTGCATTAGTAATCTACCACACATGGACTTCTATATCCTGGATGAGGGAGTTCTGCGTCTAGCTCGTGCTGCGTGGAATGACATCTTTGCGGTCGATGACATCCAGGAACCAGGTGAACAGCAGCGCTCATACAGACATGCAGCTTACAGCACGATCCCTTTCGCGTTTCCTCTTTTTAGCCTCCTCCGAAGGTTTAAAATTTTTCCTTGCCTCAGCCATGACCAGGAGTCGAGCAGGTGAAAAATGAGTAGCAAAAGCCTTAGCTCCATGAGTATATCAGCGCCTGTAGCCGTAAAGCAAGTCTTTCTTCCAAGTCACGTGACCTGGTGGCAGACGGTCCGTCTGCTCGAAAGTTACATGGGCGGTATTTCAAGAGGGCAGCCCCGCTCGGAGCATTGCAAGTGTCAAGCGCTGTATATTGGCCCAAGTATTCATATAAAATAACTCATATGTGTCAACTCTTTAGGTCACAAAGTCCGCGGTGTGCCTTTAACAAATATCTCAAAAGCATTGGTAAAGACACAGACGAGAGTCATATAATAAAACATTTATTAACCTTGCTTGCTCGGTCTGTACAGAGAAATATCAGACCTTGGCCTTTTTGCACAGACCTCGCCACGGCTCGGTCTGTACGTTAAGGCCGCGGTCTGATATTTCTCCATACAGACTTCGCGCTGGTTAATAAGCGTTATTATTGGCCAAAGAATGAGAAACAACCCCATCTACTGTTGGCAGTGGGGATTACAGCAAGCTCTATAAACCATTCATGCAGTTCTCATGGATGCTTCATTTTTGTTAAGTGCTTATTATGCTTACAGGAAATCTTTAGTTTGTAACTGACTGTAGCACTTGTAGCATTTCACACTTGCGTACTTCCTTCTTATTGTCAAATCTCAAGTTCTTCCTGCCATGTTGTCTCATTGTTTTAACTTGCAATGATCAAAAGCCTGTATTGTCTATTTTCACAAAATGATAATCGAAAAAGTATCAATATGTTCTGTCGTATGATCCCCCTTCACAGCACAATAATTGGAGCTCAGGGTTTTTACAAAGTTAGTATTTCAGTGTAGAGCTGTAGGTCTCTAGTTCGTATCCCACACCTGAAATAAACACAAAGACTGTAAATGTCTTTGGTCGACTGACCCCCAGGTGTGAAACCAGCTCCCATTGGTGAAGCTGCCACTGTGTCCTTGGACTAGGCACTCCACCACCTGCGTACGCTGTGTGACTGGTTCCTTGATGTAAAGCACTTTGAGTGTCTTCAATGGTTGGCCCTTTCCGTTTTAACGTGTGTCATTTTAGTGGTTCGATTCTAAAAGATGTGTGCTTAATAAATGAGTTCCCTCGTAATTATGAGGGATGTTAATTGAGCAAATGCTCGATAAATGAAACCCCATTTGATACAGTATAAATTATCTGTAAAGTCACTTTTGTCAGTAATTGCATCATATTGTCTGTGATCGGAGCGAGCATATGTCCCTCCTGGTTGTGGCTCTGTACATGGAGTATTTGTTAGTGGGACAGCTCTGCAGGGGCTCCGCGACAAATGGAAAATGTCAAAAGAAATGGGTTTATGGTTCAGCCTGCAGTCATCACGCACAGACGGACCAGAATCGGCAATTCACTACAAATGCCAAATTTTAGCACTATTTTTGAATTAGCAATGAAATCTGTTAAATTTTGTATTAGGAGTTAGAAGATAGATTGCAGTTACCATGGATTTTCTGATTGCCTCAAAGTAATTAATGTTCAATAGAGGAAGGAATTATTGTTATTCTGCTGTTTTCATATTTTTTGTGAAAGTCGTTTGTATTAGTCGCAGCACATGAAAAAGCAACGATGCTGTTTATTGAATGATGTAAGTTAACTGCTGTAATGGATTAGACCAAATAGAAATCTCTGGAAATTTTGCTTCTACAATATGTTTTTACTAAAATGTTAGTCGACAATAAAATACAGTTTTAAATCTATTTTCATGAACAAGAGAAAGGAACACCACAGGTACTTTTTTTAATTAACCCAAATATCGTCAAAATGTAAGCACTCATTCACAATTAATTAACAATTCAATTACTTCTGTTCACTGTAGATTAGAAATGTGGCTTCACTCCAGGTTTTGAATGTCTGTTTTTTTCTGTATTTGAAATGATTTTTGATAGAAATCTCATCACACAGCTCATTTTGGAGTTGCTCCTCTTACATTTCTCAGTGTGTTACTGACAAAACAACACATATTTCGATGACTTCTCTTCAGTCACTTTTACTTCCTAAAATAGAAAATTAGAGCAAACATAGCCACAGCTGTTCATGTCACTGCCGCTATATGAACAAGGATCCATGAGTGATGTTCAAAGCCACAAATGCCCCGCTGGTGTTTGAAAGTAGATGGTTTGATCCTTCTGTCGATGCGTACTGTTGTTGTGCGGTTCATGTGCAAAGAAAACTCTTTAGATTTGTATATCCGTTTATAATTGTAGATACACATAAACCTAAATAAGCCTAAGCAAGCTATTCACGCAATACCGAGTACTAGGGCTGGGCAATTAATAACATTTAGGCAATTAATCGGCTTTTGAAAAAATCAAATGTGTGAAAAATGTGAAAACCGTGAAATCGAATGAAGGATATTGTGAGCGTTCCAGCAGCACATGAATTATACTTGGAATATCAGCACAGTATAAGACTTTTATAATGCGTATGGACTCTATGCATGCACCACTTCCCCGTTTCAGCTACTGCCCCACTTCACTTCCTGTTCGCGGGGAATGGCTGGAGTTTCACTGGAGTTCAGCAGTGGTTTACACGAGTTTCCCAAATAATGCTCAAACGGGAATTAAACTGTGGATACTGGGCATTTTTAGGACACAGCAGTGCTTTTTGATTGTGCCGTCATTGTGTTTTTTATAAAGATAACTAATCTCTCTGAGTGGCCACAGTCAAAGCTCTACCTCAGAGAGAAAGCACAGCGACACTTTTGGGTCAGTCTCAGCTGAATGTATCAATCTAATTACTAAAAAACGTCACTAAAACCCACCTAAAAGCCATAGGAAAGCATAGGCAGGAAGTGAAAGGGCTGTGCTTTGTTAACAGGAAATGACGTCACGCCTCCCATATAGCCCATTGGGGAAAACAAATTAAAAATTGTTTTGAAACTTGAATATTGAGATCAAAACATATTTTTGATGGCAAAGTCTGTTTTTGGTTACTTTAATGAAAATTGATATAAAATCGAAATTGTCCAAGCAGGAAATAAAATTGAGATTTAACTTTTTTGCCATATCGCCCAGCCCTACCTCATACACACTAATATTTCCCTGAGCTAGTTTTGTGTCCCTGATGCTGGAATGCACTAGAAATCAACTGTAGAAAGAGAAAGTGATGTGGAGTCGGAGACAGTGGTGGATTGAGCTGATGACAGTTGAAGAAGACATATTATGAGCTTGTAATAATTCTTTCTCCTTTAGTTTGGTTGTATTTTATTTTTGGTAAGAATTGCATTTGTGACTTGAGAGCTCTAAAAAAAGCTTTCAACTGCCTCTTGTCCGCCTACAGACTTGCAATTATTCATCATGTTATTATTCTGAGACTCTGAGTCATATGTAAGAAAAAAAAACATTGTGAAGCAGATCAGGGCTTTTAAATATTTTTTATTAAAATGTTATTTTTACAGCTTCTTCAAATGAAAAAACATGTTAACCAATGACGCATGTGATCTTTTTAAGAATATTTACCTCCACCATGTTTTTGACTTCTGTTGTAGACTTAGCATTTGACTTATAAATGTCCATGAGAGCTGTGGACTCTCCAGGTCAATGCACCGTCTTGAAATACATTGATCGATAAGGGACAAAAAGGATGCAAGAAGCGTTTTCTTTTCACAGGTGCAACTAATATCATTGCTTTCACCGTGATCTGACAAGTTTGAAAAAAGGATCATGGAGGGCCACAGTTATGTAAAAGAACTACCGGTACCGAAACAAGAATCTTTTAGAAAAAAAATTATGCAAAAATCTAGAAACCCGCGTCATAAAAGCAAACCACACGTACCAAAACACCTGAACAATACGTAACTGTCTTCACACCGACAGTAACTTTCTTCACACAGACAGTAATGAGAACGAGGCAGAATCTGCAACACAGGTCTCAGGATGTTCTGACTCGCTATGAGTCCAACTACTATGTCCACAATTCAGGGACAAGCCTCAAATACTGTATGTAAAGCACACAGAATCCCCTGCCAAACAATCGCCAGAATACGCGTACGTTTTCTTACCTGGTGATGCAGACGCGGCGCCGTGGTGAAAGCTCATTTTTTAGCCACCGTTCAGGCGCGACTTTGTACGTTTGCCCATGTCCAAGGCAATGTCCTGGCTTCTCTGATACTCTGATCATTGTGGTTTTAAAATAGTTTAACAATACTTGCTTACAAAAATCGAAGTAGTTTTCAAAGCATGATTTAGGATCATGGAATGTATTTGCTGAAAATAAGATCTCTTCTTTATATGCTGTCAGGATATGACCTAAATTATAGTATATTATGAAACCATTCGCAGCCATGAGAATGCACTTGTATGAACTTGTCCCTTTCCCAATCCTGAGCTCAGTATTGTGCGTATTGCAGTGCATCAACGAGGAGGGCTTCCGTCTGTTCCTGAAGACGTATTTGGAGGTGGAGGACTTCCCTGTGGACCTGTGCCAGAGACTATTCCGCTCGTTCCAAAACTCCAAAGACTCCGCAGACTCCGCAGACAGCAGCAGTAAGATTGTCTCCAAACAAAACGCCTACACACTCGCCTCAATCGTCTTATCAATTACTACTACAGCAACAGCCTGTTTGGCATCCTCGTTTGTCAACACTTGGCTGTCAGCACTGAGCTGAACACATACAGTACAATTAAGAGCTGTTTAATTCACTCAATCTTGGTATTTGGTATTGGTTTGAGGCATCAGCAGATATCCAAAGCCAGTGTTGCCAACAATAAGCTAATTTATTACACAATGGGTTAATTATCATGTGAGTAATTACAACCTTATTTTTTCTCCTTTGTTTTGTTATTATTATTATGATGATTATTATTTATCTTTTAAGATATTTTATAAATGTTCTATATCCTAATTAAGAAGCATATGTGTCTGTATATTTTGTGTGATGACTGTCAACAACTTGTGTGTTACTGTGTAACTTATTTTATCTTATTTTATTTTCTTCTTATTATTACTAATATTATTCTTTTTTCATCTGAGCCAAAATGCAGTGCTTTCAGTTTTATAACAATTTTCTAAGACTAAAACGTTGGTAAATTGAATGTCTATGCATGGTTACTTTTAGATATTTCTTTGAGTGAAATTTAAAACCCTGGGTCGATATGGTCTCACCACATTAATTGAAAAGCCCAATCAGGAAATCAGCTTATTCAATTCAGAGGTTATATATGACTTTTTAATGAATTGAGACGCCACTGCAATACTCTGCTTGCACCACAAAGGCAAGCTTCCACAGAAGGTTTCTTTTATTTAGTGACACAAACTCCCTGAAATGTAATTTAAAAATGTATTTTGCCTCACTTCTATTTGTCTGTCCCAGGGCAGCTGTGGCCACAGTAGTTGTCTATGGAGTGAATGAATGATGTGATGTACTGATATATAAAACCAATGCATTGTTATTACTATTATTATTATAAAACACAGGCAATAATAATAGCCCTAAGACATTTAACAAACCATAATCCAGGGACAAACCAGTCATGGTTATAGAGCCATTGTTACTCACGTCATCGAATTTGGCAGGACAGAGTGGAACAGATTCTTGACTATTCTGCTAAAACATGCTGTTCCAGATTCACAAATGTACAATTAACTTAATGTGCTGAAAAAAGAATAACTTTGTCGGTCTGCCTCCCTGTTGGAGGGTTTGTGGTTTGCTGTGGTTTGATTCTTGCTCAGTGCAGCATTAAAGTCCTACTCGTCCTGGAGGGTTTCACAGCAGAATGAGTTTCAAAGGTAGTCATCTGGACAGCATTTTGAAAGATCGACTCTCATCCAAGAATCTTTTTCAGTCTGAAGTCAAGAATTGATTTGAGAGGCGTAATGTAAACACTCCCTGAAAGGAGAGCAGGTTCAGACTGAATAGGAGTTTGTGATGATAGTCAAAACCCTTCTGACCCTATGACTTCCTACATCCATCCATTCTTTTTTGCTTCATCTGGAGCTGGGTGGCAGAGGCAGTTCTTCCTTCTCTATGAAGCCCACTGCAGGTGCACGGGTGCCTTTGAAACTACTGTGGCATCAATCTTTCTCCATGTGAACAAGCTTGTTAAACTGTATACATTTCACAGCGTCCCCCTGTCCTCTCTCTTTGCTGCAGAGGAGGTCTTTCTGAAGGATGTGTCCTGCTACTTCTCTCTCCTCGAGGACGGACAACCACGGGACAAATTGGAGTGTGAGTGTTGCCTTGAGATTTGGGTTTATGAGGTTCTGTTATATCAACAAACAAATGGTCACTTGACATTTAGAACAAAGTCAAACTATGTCTCACCTCCGTTTATACGCTTATACCGTTTCATATCTGTGTGTGTTTGATTGGCTAAAGGAGCTCAAGGAGATAAATCCAGTGTCCAGACTCAAATTCTCACTTGAATTGTAGAAGCATATTGGTCGATCATGTACATCCTCCAACCTATAATAACTTAAAATGCTATACTGTATAGAGCCCCAGTGCATAAGAAAAAGATGTAATTTGTAAGTACATTAACAGCATCAAATCAAACTAGGCATAAAGCTTTCTTAAATAGAACTATAAGCTGCCACCTTTTTTCAATTTCTTTAAACCTTGCAGCCAAGAGAGTGATGTGGCCAGTGTATGTTTTGTTATTGTGGTAGAGTTTTTATGTTTTAGTAACTATACTATTGGGGCGGCACGGTGGGGTCCTGGGTTCGGATCCCGGTCGGAACAGGGCCTTTCTAAGTGGAGTTTGCATGTTCTCCCAGTGTCTGCCTAGGTTTCCTCCGGGTACTCCGGTTTCCCCTACCACTAAAAACATGTACAATAGGTCTGGCATGCGCCTCCTGTACTGGCGACCCCGCTCCCATCTCTGTGTGGGGTGAGAGGACAAAATGCCCAAAAATAACAATTGTAAACCGCTTTGTGACTTTACTTACTACTTACTTACTATAGAACAAATGTTTATTGCCAAATTAGATAACATGAGTGAATGTTTACATCCTGCACTAAAACACCAGCCGTGTCCAACAGCATGAAAACCTGTGGCTTACAGTCAAGTGTGGTCTATACGTGGACAAGATGTACTTTCTTTTCAAATTTAGCAGGTGCGGTTTGTACTGTATATGTGCTCAATAGTCCAGCTGTACTGTAAGTGTAAAGGTCTCTCAAATATCATAATAAGACAGTGTTTAGACAGGATATTAATCATTCTGCAGCCTTTGTGAGTTGCCAAAGTATTTGAATCTGCGGCATGATTCTGCTCTGAATAGAATGTTGTTAACTAACAAACACTTTCTCCTTTCTACAGTTGCTTTCAAGCTGTATGACAGAGATGGCAATGGGGTCCTGGACAGCTCTGTAAGTCAATGTTACAAAAGCAGGAATTGTCACTTTTGAATTGTTTTCTCACATCAGTGTTTTTGTTGTTATTTCAACAGGAAGTGGACAGGATTATCGCTCAGATGATGCACGCAGCAGAGTACCTCGGCTGGGATGTTTCAGAGCTACTTCCCGTAAGTCACTCCACGCCCCTTTCATATGTTCCGTCCTTGGTTTGGTAAAAATCCCAATTTATATTCTTTATTCACTCTCCTTGTTTAAAGACGCTCACAGTATGCTCACATTAAGATTCCTTTCATAACTTACTGACATAAAGCTGGGGTACTTAACGTGCATGTATTTTATGCATGCACGTCAAGATAAACGTTATGTATATCCTGAGATCATCTTTTTCAGACAGAAAAGTAAAATGGAGAGAACCACCTTCCCTAAGACAATCAATTCTCATCCCAAAGGGTCAAATAGTGACTCAAAGGGCTATTACATGTATGCAAAGATAAAAATGTTTTCTAATGAGAGAAAGGCAGCATGTTGTGGTCTGATTAGTTCACAACATTTTACTTTTGGTAGACTCTTTTTGTACAACAACGAGGATTATTTATGGGAAGAAAGTGAAGTAGCCCAGCTGTAAGGCTTTTTTATTATGATTTATTGACATGAATTCCTGTATTGGTGAATGCCATTCAAGCTTTCTCTCGAATATGAATTCTGTAGAACATGTCTAAATCATTTATAACATGTTTGTTAAATCCCAGTCCTTATGATGAAAGTCTCTGGTCCTACATAGTCCTGTTTTGGTCTTAGTTCTGTGTTTCGTTCCACTTCGGTCTCCATTTTAATGTGATTTATGTGCACAAACAACCCAAAGAATGTTACCTTCCAAAAGTATGTCTGTTTGACAGTAATAACCTTATATAGCATCAGAGAATGTAGAGACTTCAGGGTTTGAATAGGATCATATCAATATTTTAGTTGTTAATCAGAAAATGCTTTCCTCAAAAATGTATCCAATGGCAACATCAGGGCCAGTTAATAATATGGTTTATCCATGTTTGGGTGAATCACTTATTTCTGAGGCTTTTACTTAAATATAATTAATACATGACTTTCAGAATTTAATTCGTGGACATAGTCCATTATTAAACACACAACATAAAATCTGTAGCCATTTCTAAATAAAATCCTGGATTGGGAGTGGACCTCTCGGTTGATGAGTAACTTCTTGTCCGTACCTTAAAGCTAAAAACTATATTTTGTATTTTTTAACTGTGCATTTGTTTTGCAGTCATATCTGTTAGTGCTTCATACTGTAGAGCAGACATTCTGGGCTTTCTCTCCAGGTGCTGAAGGACATGATGACGGCCATAGACGCGGACAGCAGTGGCACCGTGTCTCTGGACGAGTGGGTGAATGGGGGCATGAACAATGTGCCCCTGCTGGTTCTGCTGGGTCTGAAGGTGCTTGTGCTTCCTCTCCACGCCTCCCGTATTGTGCTTAAACCTTTATGAGCTGTTGGCCTATTTTCACATTATCTTTGGCCTTTTGATCGGTGTTGTGACTGGGTGTGGTAATGCTGGTTGACTTTATGAAATGTTTTCTATCCATGAACACAATGTATTAAATAATTACCTCCGGCCGCGGGTAATGACATCATGAGGGTTTATTTACCTGTTTGTTAATTAGCAACATAACTTAAAATTTATGGGCAGATTATGACAGATTGGAAATGGATCAAGAAACAAACGATATTTGAGGTGAAATATAGCTCTATATAGGCGTATATGTTACAGGTAAGGATGATAATTCAGACATTATGTAGATACTGTATATGGAAATACAATTTTCACCCACCAGAAATGCAATGAAACTCAAATAATGGCAAGGCAAGTTTATTTGTATAGCACAATTCATACACCAGGCAACTTGTGCTGAACAAAACAAGATAGCATAAAGTAAAAATATAAAATCCCTCAGTGATAAAACATTGACTGAACTCAAGTAATTTCAAAATGTTTATTTCACCCAGTCACTGCATTTTTGAAACAGAAAACTACCAATCATTCTTTCCCACAAAATTGTTACAGAGGTTTAATTTAGTTTTCTGGGATTTTGCCAAGTCGCTGGTCAGTTGGACTGGTTTGGCTGAGAACAATGCCAGGGACTTCCCCCTCTGTCTATTTCAGGCACGAATGGACATCGGAAGCCTCGGCCCCGTGTACGCCTCTCACACTGCAGTGTCTGATTTTTATTTAGCGTACTTACTTTTTTTTTTCAAGTGAAAAAGTAAAATATTATTAATATGTTTGATGTCTTCTTCAAATAATGTGCAGTTGTTGTGCAAGACTGCATGGGTCTCTGTATATTTGTATGTTCTCGATCAATAATAAGGCATGTATCTATTGGAAAACTCGGCTATAACTCACGCAGGAGGGTCTAAGGACAGTGGCGATGGTCCAGGACATTCCACATTTATGGACATTTATGGACATTGGTTATCTGCCCCTTATGGACCAATAGCTCTATGTTTTTTTCATTGCATTTCCTTTGTTTGAACTGTTTGTGTTGGCGAATCAACAGCTTTGTTAAGAAATAACTCCTGTTGTGGCTATACAAAAATAAATGTAATTGAACTATTTTAATAATACAATTTGAATATTGCAATAACCATAGTAATACCTTTCAATGAAGATACAGTTGATTATATTTATATATATATATCCATCCATCCATCCATTTTCTTCCCCTTAATCCATTTCTGGGTCGGGGGGGTGGCAGTCAGAGCTGCACCCAGTACACTTAGCGCCAGCCCCTCACTGATCCTCCTGCAGGTGGTGAGTCCACAGGAGCTGAGATCTTTCGGTGGGAGCTTCAGGCAAAGTGGGGTTAAGTGTCTTGCCCAAGGACACAACGACAGCAGTCATCAGTGGGAGTTGTGAAGTAGGTCTTATGGTGGGCTTGAACCCACGACCTTCAGGCCCAAAGGCCAATGCTCTACCAACTGAGCTACTGTTGCCCTATATATATATTTATATAAATATATATATATATAAAATATATATATATATATATATATATATATTATATATATATATATATTTATATATTTATATATATATATATATATATTTATATATATATATATATTTATATATATATACATTTCCCATTGGGCACTTATCCTTTTTCCAGAAGCCAAATGTCACACAGCTGTTGCTTTGTCTGCTAGAGCTCTGTTCCCTCTCTGTGGGACTGGCCCATGTTACTGCCCCCACCCCTCGTTGTGAGGCTACACCCATGAGTCTTCACACGCCGCGAGTGACCTGCTTTTTCTTTTGTTTTATTTATTTATTTTGAGATTGCAAAATGTGTGAAGATATGACTGTAATAATATGCAGAGCCACTTTCTGCATTCATCTGATCCTCCTGTTTTCTCGTGAGTGGGAGTGAAACACATCACGTAAAGATGGTGTAGAGTAGCTTTATGAATAGACTTTATAAAAGTGCCGTGGGCATTTTGTAACGACTACACCAGAGTGAGGCATTTTACTGGAGAAACTGATAACTGTAATGCACATCTTTTAATGGTATGATATTGCTTTCTCATAACAACACTCAGTAACACCTGAGCCAATAGCTGGTCCTTGTTTTTAAACTGCAGGCACATTCATCTGTGTTTGAGATTTAAGCAGCTAAAAGTCGACCACTCTTACTTTACAGATTTTTTGTTCTGCTTTTTCTGCTTATAAAAGTAAATTTACCCTGATATTGAAGTTTTTATAGTTTTTATGCATTTTTGTTGTTGTGTGAGGCACTACAAATTATACTTTCCTTACCTTGAATCTTGCAAGAATGATTGTTTTTGGATTATCTTGAAAAAGCAATTAATTATTTATTTATTGTAACCTCTTTAGATGAAAGTTGTGGCCCATACTTGAAAAGAATAAAGCAAAAATATTTCAACTATTCATACTTTTTCCTCTTTTGTCTGCCCTTTCCCAGGTGACGCAGACGGATGGGCAGCACTTCTGGAGGATGAAACATTTCAACAAACCGGTTTATTGTAACGTGTGTCAAAGCATGCTGCTGGGGCTCCGGAAACAAGGCCTGAGCTGCTCTTGTGAGTGACCTGCTGTGGGATTGGGAATGTCATAATGTCATGGGTTAGTGACTGATAATTGAGTAGTAGTTTATCATGACTCATTAATCATTCTGCAATTCCCCTTGAAGATCTATTTTACAAAGCGCTGATATCAATCCTAATAGTGGTCGAGTCAAGGTCACGGTGATGGATGGCCTTACAAGAACTGTATGGAAGATTGTGTTTATCTGTATCCAGAGACATTAGGTAGACGTGGTCAAATCAAATATGACCTTTCCTGATTTATGAATGTACATAATGGTCACATCACGTATATTAGTGTTTGTTTTTGGGTTGTAAAGCAGATTATCCAAACAGAAAGCAGAATTACCATCACATGAGTCCGTCCAGGGCTGGACTGGCCATCGGGCGTACCGGGCAATGCCCGAAGGGCCGATGCCCATATTTGGGCCGGTCTGTCTGCCTCATACAAAAAACATGTTTGTGAAAAGTGTAAATCCGTTGAGAAATGTTTGAGGGGGCGCGCGTGTCCGCGGGGCACCTGCTGTATGTACTGGAACGGGATTCCACCACCTCAGCGGCCGCAGTGTTCCCGCATCCAGCGGCTCTGAGCTGGACGCGGGAACCGCTCACCGGGAGCCGCTCACAACACAACACGGCGAGCGCGTAGCCGCAGCGTGACCATGTACCCAAGACCATAAACGCACACAGGACCATGCATGTCTTTTCGTAATTTGTGCACCCAATAAATACACCCCTGCAGAAAACAGTCCGCGTCTCCCCTCTCCTCTAAATTAAAGCTCCGGTACCTAAATTTTCCATTGCATTAAAAGTTCATGTTTGAGCCCAAAAGTAAAATGTTGTGAACAGATTAAACAGATTTAGAGCCAGCAAATGGCTGAAAATATGCATTTCAGACATTTTTACCAATTCTCATCCCTGTAACAAACAATAGTATTGTCTGTGTCCACCTCCCTCACTCTGAGACATGTTTATTACTCTGTTTAATGTAGACTATTGTACTTTATTTTATTGTTGAAACTGCAGACATCCTGATCCTCTACACTATTTGCTTCCACATACTGTATAAACCAGGGGTCGGCAACCTTTAGTGCCCCTAAAGTGGCTCCTGGAGCCTTTTCAAACATGTCTGAAAATGGAGTGGGAGGGCTGTATTTTATTTCTAGTTTGAATGTGGTTTCTGTAGGAGGAAAAACATTCTTAACGTTTTTAAATGCTGCAAAAACTTGTATTGTAGTAATAATATGAATATGTAGTAATATTCAATTTTAACTGTGTGTGCGCATGGATCCCAAAGATAAAGAGAGAGAGTCGAACATTTGCTTTCAGTCAATGAGGAAGGACTGCTTCATGTTTGCGATGTAATGAAAAGTTTTATTGCAACAAGAGGAACAATGAAGCTTTAAACACCGTTCACTGAAAGATTCATTCATCATAAATTCAGAGCACCTATTTTCAGACTTCAAATCCCTTCACAAAGACGGTGAAAGAAAAGGCCATTAAGGACATTCAGATGATGGATATGAACAGACAGTGATGCAGGTGAACTCGGAGCCAAAAAGCAGATTTATTTACTGTATTTGTACAACTGCATGAAGGCAAAAAAATGGAGGTTAAACTTAAAGCAGAGTTGTCATGTGGTGCGTCATTCTCTCCAGGACACGCTGCAATGAAAATACACATTTGATAATCATGAATGGTTTTTATGTGTTTGTAGCCTTTACTTTGTCATTTAGATATTAGGCTAATGTAGCTAATGTAGCTAATGTAGCTAATACAGCTTCAGCCCCTGTTACCTTCATATAAGCCTTATACAACGCTGTTTTTTTTTTTTGCGGCTCCAGACAGATGTTGTTTTTAGGTTTTTGGCAAATATGGGTCCTTGAACCTTTTGAGTTGCCTGGGCCGCTAAGAAGGAAAAAATGCCCGGGCCGTTTTTTTGTCCCAGTCCAGCCCTGAGTCCGTCCTTTAATGTACCTCAACTTTCATGCTTAATCAAGGCCAGGGGAGCAGCTGATGTACATTCATTACATGCAGGCACTGGCAACTTTAGATCGTTCTGACCACTTGCTCTAATGGTTGGATAAGACTGAGCTCTGTTTTGGCGTCACTGGCAAAGAATAAATTGGTTGGTCTAATTTTGCATAATGACTTCAATAATCTATTGTAGATTGCTGCTACATATGATAGTGTTACTGATGTGATTTTTGCCATTATAAACGGTAAAGAAAAATCTAAAAAAATTAATTCTGTCTTCCCTATCCTCCACAGGCTGTAAATACACTGTCCACGGCCGCTGTGCCAACAGGAACCCTGCTCCCTGCACCAAGACCTACGTCAAGTCAAAGAAAGACACCGGGGTAGAGTTTGAGTATAACTGTTGTTGTGAAAGTTTAAATTTGCCCATTAAGAGGTGCTTGCTGGATCATGTAGAATAATCATGTGTACCAGTCATAATGAGGGATTTAGACGAATACAAAGAAAAGAGTGAGGTAAGCTTAAAAATGGTTTTAATACCATGATCTAGTCCTAATGACGCAAATCTTGAATAAAAGTTATAAGTTATAATTAAGGCTGGATTTCTGAGTAATGTTAATGATTAAAAATAGACTCAAATTTTTTGTGATTAATTGCAAGCTTTTAATGCAATACATTTTCAGTTAGGCCTGAATTTACTGAATGATCTTTGCTGAAAAAGTGATAAAATATTATATGTACTGCGTGGAATAAAATTAGTATGAGTATTAGTATAAGTATAAGTGCTGGACTCCACCGGCCGCGTCTCCGTTTACGCGCGTAGACTGCTGCCCATCAGACGTCCGTAAAACGGAATAGTGGCCATACCGGCTTCAGCAGCGCAGCTCTGGCTGTGCGTTTATCAGCCCCGTGAGGCTTTGTTTTAAATAGAAGAAGCCGTGTGTGATTTGTATGAGCTGTGGCTATGACCTGCAAAGCACGGCATATTGAAGCATCGCGGAAGTCGCGATGGATGAGGCAAAACTTATTGAAAGCAATTGGAAAAAGGGGAGAGAGAAAAGAGAAAAGAACTCCAACATATCCAGGCTTTTTTGAAAGCGAGTCAATATTAACATTACGCAAAAAATAAATGATAGATGTACAATCAGGAAACAATTATTTCAATTTAATACATGAAAATAAATTACACACATTTGTTATAAACATTGTCATTAACAAACACTTATAACCAAGGACTACAGCATATATCAATACATGTTTAATAATGTGGTAAATATATTTTTCCTTTGTATTTCCAATGGAAAACGGACCTGACACGCGTCGACGGACGTAAAAATAGGATTTTTTCTATTTCGTCCGTCCGCGTCCGTTGCACCCTGCGTGGACGCACTGCTCCCTACACGCGTTATATGGACGCATGTCGCGGGCAGTGTAGCCACTTCCATTCATCCTCATGGAGAAAACGGAAACGGAGATGAAACGGACATGTTTGGACGGATACATAGTAAGTTTTAAGCAGCCAGTGGAGTTGGGGCCTAAGGTCTTCTACATGTTAAAAGCGTAAGGCTCCTCCATCGTCTGTATGTGACATCACAGGAATCATGAACAAACCAACAGGAAATTAATCTAAGAATTAATCTTTTTATTTTAGCATCCAACAAAATAGAACAAAATCTAACCATCTCTAACAAAATAAGTATTTCTTTTATATTGAAAACATGTCATTGAAATCAATACAATTCACAATGCGTTCTTGGCAGTTTTAAAAGGATAAATGAAAATAAAAGTTTGTGAGACACGACCAGAAAAACTGCTGAAATCACTTTCACTTTACTTTTCTGAATTTCACTTTTACACTCTTTTTATGGTGTTGTCGTTGTTACATAATGTACATTTCCGCCACATATGTGCTGTTATTTGGGCAGTGATGATATTAAAATCTTGGTACATTTCAGGTTCCAACACACGACTGGGTGAGTGGGAACTGTGATTCCAAGAAGTGTGATAAATGCCAGAAAAAAATCAAGAGCCTCCAGGGCTTAACGGGCAAACACTGCGTCTGGTGCCACACTATGGTGAGCACCTCTATTTTAACCTCATGCAGTTAATCCGCAATGAATCATACATTTTACATAACATTTTAAAGCGCTCATTTAAAGTGTTTATGACATGCATACATTTCACACAGAAACAAAATGTATTATTATTCATCTAATAATACAGTCATTGGTCAATCAGATTTGTCTAAATGTCTCAAGTGTTGAGACATTTAGACACTGGATCATTTAATTAATTATTACACTTTTTAGTTTCATGAACTAGCACTCCATACACTTTACTTGTAAACACTTTAAAATGTAAACAAACGTGTATATTATATGTGTATTATGTTTGGAAGCTGTGTACTTGTGCCTGTTATAGTCTGTGACAAACGTGGATCACCATTACATGTCATTATGGACGTAAACCGGTTTAATAAAAGAAATGGGATCACAGACTTACCTGAAGAATGCTGTGTTTGTGCCGGCTCCTGTACGGTCTTTGTGAACAGCAACGTTTCGACACAGCACCAAACTGAAAGTCACTATTGCCTGGTTTTTAGATGTCTTTCATAAGTGCCAAAATTGCCGTTCGATACCAAATCCAACACCTACCACTCTTAAAAACGCATTCTCGTTGGCCAACCGTCACCTATCTTTCACACACACCAGACTCATAGTTGGCAATGCGGGTGAAGTGTCTTGCCCAAGGGCACAACACCGGTTTGGCACATTACAACGTTTCCAGATGTCTCCCATTACTGTACTAACCAGGTCCTGTCCTCCTTAGCTTCTGAGGTCTGAAAGGATAAGGCTTTCATATGCAGATAGTGCCACAATAGACATCTGACAACTTATCAACAGATCTATGTTGATCATTGCTCCAACCAATCCTATTTGTTTATTTTGTTCATTTTGACCAATATCCCAATATATCAGTAACCAATTAGATTAGTTTTTCCAACCAATGTGTTTTACAAAACATGTTTGGAGGTGACTTGTTTGTCCATGTGTTTCAGCGCCATGATGAATGTGCGGACCTGGAGCCCAAACAGTGTGGCTGTGGACCGCTGCGGGACCATATCCTGCCTCCGTGGGCCATTTATCCTGTAATAAAGGTGCAGTAGACAAAGCAGCCTGCGTACATGCACAATGCAAACACATCTGCCTCTGCACATCTGTGACGGGCTGTTTCTTCCTCCTTCTGCAACCTCTGACAGACGCACACACTGGAGAGAATTTCCCATTATACGTCAAATCACAAAAGCTCTTTACAAACACTTCTGGCAGATCTGTGCCTGCTGTCTCTCCTCCTGCGCTGTCATTATGTTACTCCTGCACTGCAAAGAAATGGAAAATGTATGAATATATTCATTTGAATTAGGAAAAATAAATGTTAATTTGAGTCATTTTTGACTATCTCAAAACAGGATTTAACATTGACACAATAAAAAATGTCTTTGCAATTGCTTTTGAAATAACACTTGACAGATTGTCCCTTTGGCAAATCCTGTTTTAAAAATAAAGTTCTCAATTTAATATTAAACACTTGATTTGAGCAATTTATTAGCTTCTATTTTATAGTTGTTTCCAGTGTATGTGTTGTGATGATGATGGATCCGTGCTCCAAACCCCAGACTATTACAATTTTATTCAAGCTATGAATCTGCTGACTATAGTTTTAAAAGTGTTTTGCTTTTACTTTATCGAGAAAGATTCTTATTCTTTGTACTAAAATTTCTATGCTGATCCATAAACACAATCTGTTTTAATTTACTATACAATACAATACAATTTATTCACTGTGGTTTAATAAGTATATTCTGCTGATGGATGATAGAACTGTAAATACCGTCTCCTCTCAGAGGATAAAAACCCCTACTTTGTTTTATGACTGAAGCTTGTTTCGTTTTGCTTTTTTTTTTTCAAAAGGAAAGAGCAAACAACGGCAGTTCGGGACCTGGAGACGACAGTGACCTCAATATAACTCCAGATGGACAGGTTCTGCAGGTAAAGGCGTGAATATTGCTGACTTATAGAAATAGAACCAGTGCTCATTTCATAATGAATACACCAGGATTTGACTCTTTTTACTCTTTGTTGTATCGAGGTGAAGCACAGAGTAACCTGTGTTATACGGAACATTTCAATACAACATATTATAAATAACTCCAAATGTTAATGGGCTATAATGGAATGTCCAGGTCCTATTTCAATTAGTGTTTTTGGTGTTGTAAATAAAGATAATTGAATTTCCCATAAAACTCCCCTCACCCTGATACATTTTCTAAAGACTGAATTATTTGGCAGTTACTGTATATCAAATCCAAATTGTATTTATGATTTAATTGATCGTCATTTTGTTTTTCAGATCAGCCCTGTTCCCAACACTCACCCTCTGTTGGTGTTTGTGAACCCAAAGAGCGGAGGCAAACAGGGCGAACGGTCAGCAGCACCACGACACTGAACTGTGCACTTCTCCTTTGAAAGTTTTCTATTTATTTATTATTTATTATTCTGTCTGTTTCAGAGTCTTACGGAAATTCCAGTATTTATTAAATCCACGACAAGTTTACAATCTGTCAAACGGAGGCCCAGGCCCAGGGTGAGCTGCTGTACACAGGCCACGCAACACCTCAGCTAGTATTTCACAGATATTGTTTTTATTAGTACAGTAAATTGTACCGAAATCTGATGTCATCTCAAAATTAGATTCAATTACAGAAACATTTCATACGCACTAAATTTTGTCTGTTGATTTACTAACGGCAAAACAGAAAAACAATGTGGTGACATCCTGTGATGCCGTTATATTTACTTTGGGATCTCAAAACATGAATGAATGTGACACAAACCACAATCCTATGTGTGTCATGATGTGTGTGTTTGACGGAGATGAGGATTGTTCAATTTATGTTGCCATCATTTTTCGGTTTAGTGAATAGAGATTGTGAATGGATCCTTTCAATGCGGTTGACGCTGGGATGCTGACTCCAGCTTGAAGCCTGTATTGTTCTATTTAGTGTAGACGTTTTTAAAAGAGATTTATGACTTGATCACACAACCTCGGGTGTAACTTTCCTCCTGCTTCTTGCTTCCAAAAGATAAACTACTTTTATTTTTCGCTACAGTTTGAGTTTCTTCAGGAGTCTAGAGGACTACAGGATATTAGTGTGTGGGGGAGACGGCACAGTGGGCTGGATACTAGACGCAATCGGTGAGTGAAGTAAAGACACAATGTTCTTTGATGTTTGTGGTCAGACTGCAGTAACATGACGTGTGTTTGGAGCAGACAGGGCAAATCTGGCGGTGCGTCCCCCGGTGGCAGTACTTCCTCTGGGCACAGGAAATGACCTCGCTCGGTGTCTCAGATGGGGAGGAGGTAAGACAGAAACACGTGCTCAGTACTGATGCATGAAACACCAGCATTTCACAGTAATTGGACAAATCAGTTTTGCAAGTATATTATATATTTATCTGTTCTGTAACTTATTAGTCAGCGGGATGAGTAACGGATCAGTAACTCTTAATATTAATCTTAAACAGGTAGAAATAAAATGTAAATCTATTTTTTATACATTGGAATTTATGAATGAACATAAATAAAAAATATTCTTTTACCAAATATTAGAATACACAAACAGCTCATTTAAGTAAGCTTAGGTTTGGATCATAGCAGTTGTCATGTCAACAAACAAAACTATTCAATTCTTTCCAAAATAAAACACTAAAATGGTGAATTTATTCTGTTTTTCTTATTTAACATTGAACGTGTCAATAATATGGCCAATATTTTAATGACAAACATTTTCGTAGCTGTGTTGAACTTGTTTAATGGTCTACTGACTTTTTTTTGTCATTTATTTTTTTTGTATTGATTTTTCTTTTTCTTTTTAAACAGAAAAACAGCAAACATGTAAAAAATGAAACAAAAATAAAACATACACTTGAACAACAGACACATTATGGCACACTGAATCTTTTTACTGGCTTTACTCTGAACATCATGTTGTTTAGAGATAAATGTCTTAAAGGCAGTCAACAGTCTTCAGTTTTGGGTAATGGTCTACTGACTACTACTTTTATTTAGACTAAACCTAATTTTCAAATAAGAACAAACTGTGTTATAAAATCCAAGTACAAATTGGTTGCTCGCTCTCAAAACAGTTTGGTCCAATCTCTAGTTTTCACATACATGTATTTTTGGCCTCTGTCACATCTTCAGCTTTTTCAGACAGAAAAGTGAAAAAGAGAGGACCACTCTCACTCAGCCAATCACAGAGCTCTTTCTTACAAGTACGCAGAGAACAAGTGTTAGGATTATGAGAGAATGTTGTGGTCTGACTCTTTCCGTTGGGACAAACAACATGTGTTATTTATGAAAGTCAAATACCCCAACTTGAAATGCATTATTGTTGAGTGAAATCCTACTTATTCGACCCTTTCCCCAGGATACGATGGGGAGGACTTGTGCCGTATCCTGAAGGACATCGAGTTGAGCACAGAGGTGATGATGGATCGCTGGAGCGTACAAGTGATCACTGACGAGACGCAGGAGGAAGGAGACCCGGTGCCTTATGAAATCATCAACAACTACTTCTCTATTGGGGTGGTGCGTTCAAGGAAAAGAGGACATTTGATCATGTTTAAACCGGTTTGAAATGGTGTTGTGTTTTCACAGGATGCATCCATTGCTCACCGGTTTCACACAATGAGGGAGAAGCATCCACAAAAATTTAACAGCAGGTAAGAGGCTGATAATGTTACAGCTATTTCACTTAACATTACTATATTTAAAGCTACACTTTTTACTTTTTGTAAGTGATACCTGCATGACGATACTACTTTGCAACATTTTTGATGGACTTGAGTTGTATCCCATATCTTAAATAGAAAATATATGGTGAAACAAGGATGAAGGGGAAACGATGCTTTCTGCCTGTAACTCTCTATGCTGCCACCAGAGGGAGCAGCTGATGTTTTTTCCCCCCTAATGAAAAGACAATGCTGTTGTGTAGTAGAGTTACAATTAGTTCATAGAGGACTAAGACAGGAAGTTTTAGACAGAAAAACACAAAGTTCCTGATTTTTTTGGGGAAGGATCTGACAACAACTTCAGGTCTGTTTTCGATGAGGGAACAATTTTGCATAATATGTCTCCTTCAGAGAGAAAAGGGTACCATAAAAGATGGCTGAGTTTGTGAGCCACAGAGTTCTTTGTCAGATACTTGGATGAGTCGGATACTTTACTGATCCCAAAGGAAATGTATCCTGAAACTGCCCCATCACAAACATTACAGCAAGAATTTGGCTTGTGGAGTGGAGTCACGCAGCGATTGGAGACTGTGTAAAATACTTAATGACAGCCAAAGCATTTTAAAATAGGTTTGTAAATAGCTTTCAATAACTATGCTTTCTTTTTGATTGCAGGATGAAGAATAAATTGTGGTATTTTGAATTTGCGACGTCTGAAACCATTTCTGCTTCTTGCAAAAAACTCAAGGAGAATTTAACGATTGAGGTGAGAACACTTCTTTCTGCACAAGTGGTTTGGAGCTGGTTCTCAAACTGTGATGTGACTGAGATATTTTTCATTATTCCCTTATTTCAATAGAAAATGCATGTTTATTGATACTTGCTTATTGACAACGTGCTGATACTGGATATGAACTGATAGTGTTGGGGCGAAGTTTGAAATTAGTATTCAGAAACGTTGAATGAATACAAACTAAATCATAATGGCGCTTGTGTAAATGCATCAAAAGAACCAATTCAGAAAATTCTCCTGTTTCTACAACAATGTTTGATGCTATTTCCATCCTTGTGGCCTCCCTATGTTTTTGTTTTTCTTATGCTTATATTTAGTTGATTGGTGTTTTGATCATAATTGTAATTATTTTCAGAGATTTTTTAAAACTTCCACCCTGTAACTTTTTAGGCTAGAAGTAGCATGTTGTCTTTATTTTATGAATTATACAAAAAGTACGTACAAGAAAAAGACCAGACAAATGATATATGTTTATTTTCATTGATTGACACTAACACCACTATCTATCTTTAATTTTACAATGAAACACTGTGTATTCTTTTGTTTGTTTGTACATTTCTCAAGAAGATACAACGTCATTCTCTGTGGGCTTTCCTCTCCGCTCTTGCTTGTTTCTCCCCCGTGTCTCCATGTGACATCCTGCCTTCAGAAGTGCCTTTGACATTTACTTTATCATTCATTAAGAGTCTTACAAGCCTTGTTGGTTACTTCTTCCATTGTGAAAACAGTCTCCCCATTGTGTCCCGACATTAGCAGCCGAGTCACGTCTCTGTGCTGTTTTTCAGTGTTGTGGGACCCCGCTCGATCTCTCCAGTCTTTCGTTGGAGGGCGTCGCGATCCTAAATATTCCCAGCATGCACGGCGGCTCCAACCTGTGGGGCGAGAGCAAGAAAGGAGACGTAAAGTCCGGTCCAGACGAGCCACAAGTCATCGTGGACCCAGAGGTGCTCAAAGTCACGTCTCAAGGTACCAGAACTGTGGGTTTGTGGAATTACAACAACAATAATCAGTGTTTATCTATTCTTTGGACAGAGATCGTACACAATAGAAGCTAATGGAGGAATTATGAATAAATATATGAAAAAAAACGAAGATATTAACCATCAACAGCAAAAATACAAGCAAATTATATTAACCAATACTTGAGCACTCTATGTATGTGTGATTGTCCATATTACACATTCATTTTTACGATCTCTGCTGAGTCTGTTCAGTAATACAATATTATTACATCAGTCTGTCTTGCTGTCCACGCAACTGTGCAAGACATCAACACAAATTTACAGACGACAAAAGACACAGGGTTTCAAAAATTAGCGAATTCACCTATGAGTATTCAGCGCCCTCTTGTGGCCAATTATGACTGGTGCAATAGACCTGTTAGAAATTGTGTAGAAATGTTTTGACTTTATAATTAAAGTTCTGCTGATTAGGCAGCACTGAATGACATTTGCAAATAATGTATATACGAGGGGAATAATACCAGGATCTCTTTCCCATAAGAAATAAAATGCTACTTCTTTATCTAATAAATAAATATATGATGATGTACAGTGCACCTTTGTTCAGCTTTCCTCGTCACCTTTTATTACAGTTTCACCTTATGTACAAATGCTGTGTGTGTGCAGATCTGAGCGACCGTCGGCTGGAGGTGGTGGGATTGATGGGGGCGATGGAGATGGGGCAGATTTACACTGGACTGAAGAGCGCAGTGCGACTCGCCAAGACCTCACAGATCACCATCAGGTACAGAGACCAGAGACCCCTGGACGAGCTCAGGCATGCCCCTCTGTCCTCACGGTTCACATGACTAACAAAAGACCAAAACCATTTGCAAATTAACCAGTGATCTTTTGCATTTTAATGTTATGCAGGATTCCAAACGATTTGAGATGTTTATGATGGGCCCTTTACCCCTTAATAGTCCACATGATTTACATACACACAGTGGACTACTGTTATATTCATTTAAATGAATGACATTTTAGACGAGCTTCTGTCAGCCAACGCCCCGGCTTCATTGATGCGCACATACATACAAGGAACACATGGCAGAAGACATTTATAAGTGTTAAAGGAATGACTTAAAATAGTTCTATAATGAGATAGTAATAGAAAAAAAAATCTCTGTAAATATGCCGTTGTTAATTCATCTTTATGTTGTGAACAGGACAAAGAAAGCACTCCCCATGCAGATCGATGGAGAGCCGTGGATGCAGCCTCCGTGCACGGTAACTGCAAGCATAGACATAAACCATTACAGCAGAGACGGTACATTACTATAGGTAATGTACATTACTTAGTTGAATTATTTATTTATCAGACGATGCACGTTTATGCACATTTCTGTAAATATGATCAACTATATGGTAAATCATGAATGATACAAAGTTTTTGATGACATGTGATTAAATTTACTTCGTCCTTTTCAATAACCCTATGGGGAAAACCTGGAATGTGACTCCCAGAACCAGAGCAGGGAGTGCGTTTATAAAACATTAGTAAAAAGCAGATTGTTTACCGAGTCCAATTCATTCTGATTGAGCCAAATGCATGTAAACCTGTGTGCTGCGATTGAGGTGTGAGATTCCAGTCCAATTGGAATAACTGGATTGAGCTGATTCCACTGTGGTTTGCGGCTCGTAAAACAAACACAACACATCGCGTGATGACTGTAACACTAATCTGAGCTAAAACTACATGATAAGCTCAAACTCTCTTTTTACCTTTAAAACCATCCATGTTTGTGTGGTGTTTTACGAGCAGCTCATTTGACAAATGGTCCTGTTTGGGCGAGACGTTGTGATGCAAACGGCTCATTCAGAGTGAAGTAAGTTACGAGTTAGCGTTAGCATACATTACATATGTATAACGTATTACAATTGGTTGAACAGTACATTTTATAGTTATACATTCACACATTAAAATTAAAGTTGCTTCGATCACGGCATATCGATCAGACGGCCCTTTTATAAGATGACGTTACAAAGTAAAACACAGTTTGGCTTATTTTATGTTATGTTATGTACTTATGTTACTGAAAGATAATAATTGTAAGTCTTTTTTGGATCATAAATAATATATTTTATTCATGATCAATGAAATAAGTTGTTTTACAAAGTCACTGTAACACACTATTTACAAAACTAAGATGATCTAGTGGCATCAGCAGCTCTCGTTATAACAAATATACATAAAAGGGTTTTTATTCAGCACTATAAAACTCTACTGGAGTTAATGCTGTTCACGAGCATGGACTAACTTTTGTTATCCAGCTTTACTTTGTGAAAACAATGGAGGCACATGGGGAAAGTCAAATACATGAACTGAGTACATGTGTCTCATCGTTTATAGTTCCAATCCTGATATTTGTATTTTCAGATCATCATCACACACAAGAACCAGGCCAGTATGCTGATGGCTCCTCCTCAGGCCAAGTCCTCCGGCTTCTTCAAGTAAAACTGACTCTGTGCTTACTGTATATAATCCTAATCTTATAAATAATTTATCAAACGTTATGAATGTTGAAATAACTGCATTTGCTTCAAGGGTCTACTCATAGTTCACATATAACCAAAGCATGGCGCTATAGACTAACTGCACGGCAAAAATGACTTTTTACATTGGTTGAAATGATGTACTTCAATTGGTGTTATTTATGATCATTTTTAATAACATAAATTCAGTAGTAACACAATGTGAGTGAATAATCAAGACCAGTATTTAATAAACAGTTTTAACCAAAGCAGACGTTGTTTCTGCTGTGTATGTTACAGTATCGTTGCATTGTGGCAAAATGACCAAACTTTATCAATATAAACTGTAGAATGCTTTTAGACTAACAGAATCTACTGCTATAGTCTCAGGCTGGAACAAGGCCATTTATGCTTTCTGTGAATTTGAACTACAGTATGAGCTATGACAAGCTATAACTAGGACAAGACATTAATTAAATTAATTATTAAAACTGTTAATATCCAGAACTAAACTATGACGAAGACCAAACTGCTGCTGGATCCAATATCACAATTCCACAAATTTGCACAGACCGTACTTTAGGAACTCCTTTGCACACTGCACAAAATGAAAAAATAAGTGAATAATCTGTCTTCATCATGATCAGTGTGAGCGAGTTTCAACTGTTATAACATGAAATGTACTTTTTCCATCATATCAAAAAAGAAAGATTGTACAAAATCTTCTTCGAGGTAAAATAGGACTTCTATGCTTGTTCTTTCTGCAAATGTAGTGGTCAAAATCTGTTGAAATTAAGGAATGAAGGATCTCTGGTTCAAATAAACATCAAAAGACCTACAAATGTGTATTTTTATTTTAAATATATTTATATGTATTTTCCCAAATTGTGCATCAAGACTAATTAATCTAAATTCTAAATGACAGATCCAGGACTAAAACAGGACTAGACTGGGTCTTACATAGACATACATGGTCCACCTCTGGCTGTAGATGGCTGTATACAACACATGGAATGGCTAAGCTTCACGTGCCTTTTCTTCATATGAATAACTCTGGCTTTAGCAGCCGACAGATCTCTGTAGATACGCGTGCACTGACCCAACAGTATTGCAATATGGAAGGACGCACTGCAAACAAGAACATATACACAAGTTACTATGGCAAAATGTCTTGTTTTTAGAAAAATGAAAATGGTTTTGTCTTAATAAAGAAATGGGCGAACAGGTAAGCAAAGGTAAACTCCACCAAAAGGTTTCATTCTGCTCATTTTAACTTGTGTATTTGTTATTATTTCTCTTTATATTTCCTGCAGTGAGGCTGAGGCTTAAAGGCATTTTATCATTTTTACATGTTTGACAAATACTTGAAGGTGTTTGTGGGAACAATAGGACAATCATTGCCAAAGGAGCTGTGTGGATCTCAACTGTAAACCAGGGATGTCAAAATGTCTTTCTTTCTGAAAAGACAAGCTATTTCACCTTCCACCAAATCAATTCTACCATAAATCTAACAAATGAATCCAGATTGACGTAAACAGTCGAGCAATTCCTTTAACAATACTCACTTATTATCCTGTAAAATCATTTTGACATCCCTTGTGAGAACAGAACTGCTGTATTTTAATATTTTTTCAGAATTTAGAAGCTGATGCCACTTTTACCTTTTTTAGGCTTTTGATTCTTCACTAAATTGTTGAGACCAATTTAATTTAAGTGTTAATTTAATGATAATGTCATTTTTATGTAGGGACTTGTATTGTATGTTCGTATAAGAGCATTAAAGCTCAAAAGTATTTAGTCCAATGATTTCAGAATGCTGTTATGAACATAATGTAACACCAGGGGGCGCTGTGTCTTAACTGTGGTAAAGTGATGCTTGAAAGTTTGACAATAAATGTAAAGTAACAATAATAATAAACAACAGCAATACTATTTTGTCCTAATTTCTTTTGTTAATGTCCATGACTCCATGTTAAAAAAACATTATAATCTTTAAGAAAGAAGACAATTATTGATTGGGAATTAAAACCAAATATGTTTGTATTGCCCAACACAACAACAGCAGTCATCTTGGAGGGTATCTGAGAATTGTCAATTCGCCAACAGAAGATTAGAAAATCAAAGCAGAGAAATTAGGAGCGAGGATAGTGCTCGTCTAGCAAAGTGATGCCATATGCAGCTTCACAAAGATAAATAAAAATATATTTTATTCTAATGTAAAGTAATCCTATAGACAGAAGAGGAAAGATTGAAAGGGTTAAAACAATAAAACACTGATTAATATTAATTTCTGTTTCACCCCGTTAGATCAAATGCCTTGAAAGGTAATTGACTTCTTGAAGAGGAGTGAAGATAATGGATCTGACCCAAATGTCTTATATTTTCACTTTGATCTTTGTTTACGTGAAACCCCCAACGGGAAAATTACTCCCTTTCTTTTAAACTATATTTCCAAATCTCTTTTTGAGGGTAGGTCTGATTCAGAATTCACATGAACATAGAAATTAGTCATAGAAAGCAGGGCATTAGCGTTTACCTCAGAAAGGGTATTACCCCTTCCAAAAAGATGAATCAAAAGGCTTTATATTCTAATGGTCTTGTCAGTATGTTGTAAGTTCACAAACTTCCCAATTAACACTCTATCCAAATATTTAGTTATATAAGTTTTGCCAGTTTGAAACGTCTACAATATGTTTTTCAAGGTTTGAAATTGGGGCAGCTCAATACAACTAAATAATATACCCTCTGAAGTCGTTCCAACTGATGCATAACCAAAAGAACAAAAAAATGGGACATACAATTGTCTAAATGTAACATATGATTGATTTCACCGGAACAAATGTACCACCAGAAAGAGCTTGGGTACCACCAGCAACACACATCACAGTTTGAGAAACACACTCCCTGCTGTACAGGGATAGTGTACAGCAGTAAACACATTTGTACCTAAATATATACTGTATGTATTCATGGCTGCACACAGATTATTATGTTTTTACATTTACGTTAACGCAAAAGTAAATGTTATAATTTATTTTAAGAAAAGGGGTAGGAACACAAACACAAAACATTGTGTATTTCATTTTTTTTTTTTTTTTTAGAATAAAGCCACTTAAAGTTTGGTCAAGTCAGATGTAGGACCTTTTTAAGACTTTTCAAATGCCACTTCCACTGAATGGCAGTATAAAAGGAGGTTTATTTCTGAATTAGAATGCAGTCCCATCTCTTGTGAGGAAAGTTAGGACACTTGCGAGGGCACGTCCCTCTCCCTCATTGGCTCTCGCTCTTGTCAATCACACCAAAGCCTCCGCCCACTGTCCTTTTCACCAAACCGCAGCAGCGATGTCCTCAATGCTCACGTCTCTGCTCAACACAAACCTATCTACACAAACTTTCCACTATCATAGAGAGAGAGAGCGTATTTTAACCCGTACATTCACGCGAGTGCATGGGGCCAAGATGACGTTTCGGAGGCTGAAGAAAGTCAACTCAAACAGCGGGGGAAATTCGCAAGAAAACGACATTTATTTCCCATCTTCAAAGTCCGATAGTTGCAGGACTTCGCTGGACCTCCAAGCCAAACCTACGGACGTGTACAACTACAAAACGTTGGCGTATTCAGGCGGGACACTACCCAGGAACTTCAAAAAGGTGAGTTCTGAATAAAAACAAATACAAAATAATAATAATAATAATAGTGCAGTATAAAAAAGGTGAGTTTTTTTTGTTCAGAATTTTTTCCTGTGAGAAGGATTAGAAAAGGCGACAGCTGTAGGGGCTTTGTCAGGTGCTGCGGTCCTGTGGGAACCCAGACGTCTCCTTCACGCACAGACGCATGGACTCACCAGCTGTTTTCTCCACTTTACCGCGTTTTTGTGCAATATTGTGTTTCCAGACTTGAAACAAAATACGATCTTTCTGTTGACATGTGTTTTTAGATGACTTATCCTTTATTCCATTCTTTGTTTCCCTTATTTCTTACTGTCAATATGAAGTACTAAAATGAACTAGACAAGTTATCACTAAAGGGAAAGGTGCAACGCATCTACAAACTAGCAATTATATTACATTAAAAACACTGAAGTAATGAGCTTATTATGCTTTTCTGTTTTTATTTAGTTGTTGTGGGGAAAAGTAGTCTAAATGTTGCAAACAGTAGGAATATGAAAACCATTGGCAAATTGGGTCATTTCCCCCCATCATCTACAAGGCAATCAAAGCCATTGTGTGGAGGCTATTGTAAATGTTATGTGAAAGTATTATGTGTCAGTCGCAACTGCCAGGATAAACTGAAAAGCTCCTGTGCAAAGTTACCAAAGATTTTAAAAGGAAGGAAGCAAAATCACCATGTAAGTATAGGTCAAATGCAAGTTTTATTTTACTTGAAAAGCTGTGTGTGTGTATGTCCATATGAGGTCATTATGATATGGTTAGTGTGGACCACCCAGCCTCAAAGGGCTACTGCTCTGTCAGGTCTCAGGCCAAACTGACCATATAACTGGGTAAATTAGGTTTGGGGAAAAAAAACAAGGCTCATTGATTTACAAAGGGGGAATCTTGGTTCTATTTTAAAACTCATGGGCTGTTTTCCTAGAAAGACAAAGCTGTAGCTAGAAGTTAATTACATTATGAAGTCAGAAAGTCTGCACAACTCTGACACCAACACATTTCTATCACAATAGGTTTGATTAGGGGACAGTAGAGTCCTTCCTCTGTTTTGGTTCAGTCTGCTTATTGTGGTGTCCGTGTGCCAGAAGTGACGTTTCAGCTCAAAGCCAGTTTAGACGGGATGGGAAAATTCACACTTCACTGTCAGACCTCATAAACCTAAAATGTGCAGAAGGCTGGAATGCTTCAACTAAAGATGCCAGTGCTAATTACTCATAATGTCGGTGGAAATAATTTACGTCTACGTAATTTAATCTAATCGGTGACATTAGTCTTGTCTACAATAATCTTGAAGTTTCAGACACCTGCTTTCTGACTACAGGGATAATCTCTCAGTTGTTCAAATCAATGTACATTTTTCTACAGCCCTAAATCACAAGAGCAGTGTCTTAGAGGACATTTCAAAGTTATTGATTTGCCAACAGCAGATCAAACCGTTCGAACACAGGAAATGCATTCATAACAAACACCTGAGCCATTAGTGACTATAAATGTTCTTTAATATCCCAGATCATGAATGTTCTTTAGACTTCTGCATCGGCAAGGAACGACTCAAACAATTATGAAGAGAGGATAAATATCACAGTTCCACTCATTCGTCTTGTTTTTTAATACTTTCTACTTTCCCACTGCTCTTTACCGTCAATGCAACACTGACATTTCCATACTGTGGGACAAATAAGGCTGGCTTTTCTCTTTGGTCAATTTTAGGATTATTATGTTCAGTTATTTTCTCAATTTAGTGTGAATTTATATCAGTTAAATCTCACTTATTCTGCCCTAGCTATTTAATGTCACTGTAATCTCCTAAAGACCAGGGGCCGTATTCCTAAAGATTCTTAGTGCTAAAAGTTGCTCCTAGTGGCCAAATTCTAAGAATTTTCTTAGAATCTTGACCAACTCTTAGAATTTCCCCTAAAAGTGAGGAGTAGCTTCTAGTTAAGAAAAAAGCTATTCCTAAAGAATCCTAGCTCTTAAGAGTGCTCCTAAGGTGAGATCCCTTAAGAGTTGAGAGGAGGACTTTTAGCCACTTAAAGTTCCCTAAGAGGACAAAATGGTGGACGGTAGAGGCAGGAGAAATATTCTATACACTGGATCACAGTGAATCAGTAAAACGCTGCAGATTGGATCCTGCAGGAATCATGTTTAAAAGTCAATCATGTAAAAGTCATCATGTACAAATATACAGTTTTGTTTTATTAACAGCAATCCAGTTCAAAAAGGAGTGTGAAGAAGTTAATACTTTTAAACTCCCGCCCTCTATTTATCATTCTAAATTAACTTAAATTATGTGGTTGCTACAGCTTAGTTTATTCCAAGGTGTATTTACAGTTATGCAACAGTGACATTCACAATAACATGCACTTGATTTGTGTATGTATAAAATGCTTATATTAATAATTTTTACTTAATTCCTTTTACGTCTTTCAGTATCACAGCCTTTACTAATACTAATGTTATCATAATCATCTATATATATATAAGTGCTCATGTTATATACGTTTGTTAAATATGTGTGATAAATTCGTGCTGCGCAAGCTCTAATGATGTGGTGTAAAAGTCAAACTTACAACAGTAAGTTAGACAATATTAGTAAATACATCTGACTTTCTACCTTTTCTGATTATTTACAATGACAGTATTCCTAAGATTAGATTCTATGATTGAGTTTGTCCATTAGAGGATCCTTATTTTGCCCATTATCAAAAATATGGTTTCTCTAACTTTTAGGATCAACCAATCACAGCGTCTGAAATGATGACTCATACCTAGCAACGGGGTCGGCCATGCCTCCTCACTAAGATAAAAGTTGTTGTCAATTCCTTGCTCAGAGTTCTCTAAGAGTGTTCTGGAATAACTTTTAAGCTAAGACTCCTAGCTAGGAGTTTTTAGGTTAAGATAGGAGCTCTCTGAGAGGACTCTTAGAATTTTTAGGAATACGGCCCCTGGGGCCGTATTCCTAAAGATTCTTAGTGCTAAAAGTTGCTCCTAGTGGCCAAATTCTAAGAATTTTCTTAGAATCTTGACCAACTCTTAGAATTTCCCCTAAAAGTGAGGAGTAGCTCCTAGTTAAGATAAAAGCTATTCCTAAAAAATCCTAGCTCTTAAGAGTGCTCTTAAGGGGAGATCCCTTAAGAGTTGAGAGGAGGACTTTTAGCGACTTAAAAGTTCCCTAAGAGCACAAAATGGTGGACGGTGGAGACAGGAGAAATATTCTATACACTGGATGACAGGGAATCAGTGAAACGCTACAGATTCAAGCAGGAATCATGTTTGTGGTATATTTAAAAGTCAATCATGTGACCAGCTTCTTATTGGCTGGTCAGCAATAACACCTCATCCATTTTACCTTTGTTACACGAAAGTAAGTAGAAATGGTAAAAGTTGAAAGAGAGGAAAAAGTGGTCCTAAATTGTCACACATTCAGTACGAATGAATACTTTATTTTGAGCCATGGCAAACAAGAAAAAAAAGGACAAAACAAACAAAACAACAACAGAATAGAAGTACAAATATACAGTTTTGTTTTATTAACAACAATCCAGCTCAAAAAGGAGTGGGAGAGGATAAGACTTTTAAGCTCCCTTGTACTTGATTTGTACAGTGTATGTATAATATGTTTATATTAATATTGTTTCCTTAATTCCTTATAAGTCTATACATATCACAGCCTTTACTAATCCTAACGTTATCATTATCATCATTTATCCATATAATATTTATAATAATAATTTTCTTTATCATGTATATTATATATAGAGTAATATTTAAATTATATATATATATATATATATATATATATAAAGTGCTCATGATATATATGTATTATGTGTGATAAATTGGTGCTGAGCAAGCTCTGATGATGGTGTATAAGTCTAACTTTACTATTCACAGTATTTATGTACCATTGATATATCTGACTTTATAGCTTTTGGTTATTATTTACAATAACACAGTGTTCCTAAGATTAGATTCCATGATTGAGTTTGTCCATTTTAGGGCCCTTATTTTGCCTATTATCATCAAAAATATGTTTGTTCTAACTTTTAGGATCAATCAATCACAGCGTCTGAAATGATGACTCATACCTAGCAACGGGGTCGGCCACGCCTCCTCACTAAGATAAAAGTTGTTGTCAATTCCTTGCTCAGAGTTCTCTAAGAGTGTTCTGGAATAACTTTTAAGCTAAGACTCCTAGCTAGGAGTTTTTAGGTTAAGATAAGAGCTCTCTGAGAGGACTCTTAGAATCTTTAGGAATACGGCCCCTAGTTTATACCTAGTTTAGACCTAATTAAAGACCCAGAACAGTGGTCTTGGCTTTCTGTTGGTCTCAAACCATCTCTGGGCCATGTTTTTACTCAGACTACATACTTTATCAGCAAGATTAACCCAAGAATTTCAAAACACGCCGCAGCTACAACCGTTGCACGATCTGCCCTACATACAGTCCAGAGACAGGACTCCAGCCTGGACCTCTGCTGTTGGTCCTTGTGGGTATTGGGCGAATAAAAGCCTCCATTGAGACGGCTCTGGGACAATTCTCTAAGTGTTGGAACTTGAAGAAAGCAACATTTTACTAGCAGAGCCACGAGCACAAAGCTGCCTTTTACATGTGTTGGAGAAATGATCTTTGAGTGGCTTGATTGTAAGTGATTTAGTGCCGTTTTTGGACAGTTACCTTTTTTGTTGACTTAAGGTAGTGACCCTGTGCTGACTCGGGGTTTTTCCTCTCTGGAGTTTTTGTGGCACTGGGCCCAATGTTTATGCGCGTGTCTGTGTTTTCATAAGGGAGATGGAATTAGTGCAAATTGCTGTAAAAGTGCTATCCAAATCCAATGGGTCAGCAGTCAACACGTCTGAGCCAATTTTTGCCCAGGGTAAAATTAGATTTGTTTTGATGTTTTGATTCTGCTTTGGAGTTACTATGATTAATGTAAATTGGTGAAAAATATTAAAATGGGGCCTGAGTTTTCCACTAGTTTTCTAGTACATTACTTTAAAACCATAGCAAATAATTATGTAATACAATCTATACAACTAGTTTTATGTATCTTTGGCCTTTGTCTAATATGTTTTTGTTATAGCGTACCAGCCCTCAAGGATAAAATAAAGGACAAATAATTCGATTTTTTTTATCTGATTTGTTCACAAATCAGATAAAAAAACAGAGCTACAGGGGCGACAGTAGCTCAGTTGGTAGAGCATTGGCCTTAAGCCCAGAAGGTCGTGGGTTCAATTCCCACCTCTGCACCTTCTCCACCGACTCCCACTGATGACTGCTGTCGTTGTGTCCTTGGGCAAGACACTTAACCCCACTTTGCCCAAAAGCCCCCACTGAAAGATCAAGGCTATGCTCACACTCAGAGAGCAGCCGTCCTCCTGTGGACTCACCACCTGCAGAGGGTCAGTGAGGGGCTGGTGCTATGAGACTTGGGTGGCATCTCTGACTGTCACCCCCCTGACCCAGAAATGGATTAAAGGGTAGAAAATGGAAAAAAAAAAAAAAATGGATGGATGTTCACAAACTGTTGGCGTTCTGTTGGGACAAACTGTAATGTGTTTATGAAACCAAAATGAAGTTGGGCACTCCTGCTTTAATGAGAACATCAATGATCAATCATCTTAAAATCCCCATTTCTTAATTTAGCTCAATAACAAGCCTAGAAATAGCTGCCGTGACGTTGTGGGTAAAGTAAACAGAAGTACCTGTGGCTGGCACGCGATGCTGGTTTCACTACACTGTTTTTATTCAAACACAAAAACACGTGTGCAGCTCGGAGACTTGACAAACCGGTTAACGTGAGGTTTACAGGAGGCGTCTGCAGGAAGTGACCCAGGGGGAAGCTGCGAGGGTGAATGCTGTTGTGCCAATTCAAACATGATGCTTTTCTTTTGACAGAGCGGAGGGCTGCAGAAGTGGACGCCCCTCACGCAGACCCCAGAACCACAAAGGTACAAAGTGGAAATTACTACATTATGTGTGTCTTTTTAAAAAATCATTGCAAATTAAAATAAACCAGATAAAACGCATCTCCTGAACTAAAGCTAGGCTGGACTGGGCTTACTTAAATATGCAATTATAACAGTTTAGCATGTATATTTTGAATTTTAAAAAATGTCAATTTCCTGATGGAATCCTAATATTCCTCCTAACATCAGAATGCCTTTATAATTTATATTGTTTAAGAATATGACAATGTATCTGAATGAATTTGCATGTTGGAGAACTGCTTGTATTCAAACTATATTTTTTGCCAATTTTGGGTGAGCTTTACTAAATTGCTCCCTATACTGTGTAACAAATATGGTACTGGTGTGCAATCATAAGAGCCTTGGATTTGTGCATTCTGTATAGTACTCCCCATTCAAATGACCAACCATACAAAGGGGGTCCCTATTAGAAAAGATATATTTCCTCGTCATTTGTCCGACACAGTACAAGTGCAGTAACATACTTCCTCATGCATGTTCATAAGTTGCATATTAGATTATCGGCTGACGTGCTTGGGTCCAGCAGTAGAGTGTTGTGACGTCCAGACTTTTTGGACACAGAGAGTCTTGTCCGGCCGCGCAGTTCCTGGTCATGTCATTTATAGATAAGAAGACTTGAGCGCTGCAGCGAATACTTCAATGTCAGATGTCAAACGGTGACATTTGTGATCCTCTGTATGAAAATCCTCTGTGCCTTTTTAAATTCTGCAAACTATTGTAATATGGATAAGTGAGTAAGGGGTGTTATATTCAGCCACACGATACTGGGCATTTAAAGACCTTATGACGGGTTTTTAAAAAAAAAATAGTGGATATCAAAATTGCATGACAATGTCAATTTGAAAGAGATTCCGGCAAAAAAAATCCTATATTTTATAAAAAGAACGTGTTTTTCATGAATTTAAGTTGTCTATGCTCTAACCTCTGTGTGACGTCATAGCGGGTTACGCCCATGCATTGAAAACCATGGATCTATGCCACAGGACTGCCTTTTCTCTCTTCTCTCCACTGATGCCCAACACAATACTGCACTCTACAGGTGACAATTGCTCACTACACATAAATTGCCGTTTTGAGAGTGAAAAAGTGTCCGAGGCGGGATTTGAACCCAAGTATCTGGATTGGCAGTACATTGACACAACCACTGGACTATCTCAGTGACAACAAAATGTTACATTCTAGTATTTATCTTAGACTCGCTGTACACGGCCTTGTCATCTTGAATATCCGCGAAAAATGAACGAATACCAAATTGTAAACAACTTACAGCATTGAAACGTACCCGCTCTGACGTCACCTAGGGCTGTGAAGTTTTTTCGTTTCTAAGGGCGTTGCTATGGGGTTATTTCGATTTGGGGGGATCAGACAAAAAAACAACAACTGATTTTGAAACCTTTAGTAGTTCTCTTCTAATATAAAATGGTATTAAAACTGTATTTCTAAATAAATCAAACCCGTCATAAGGTCTTTAATGATTTTAGTTTAAGCTGTTTAAACACATTTGTACGTTCATAGCAGCTCTTAACATGTCGTTTGTTGTTACAGAAAAGTGGTGGACTTGGAGAAGAGCGATGAGGAGACGTTTGGTTTTGAGATCCAGGTGAGTGGATTACACTCTGCATCTGTGTCATCTGTCGTAATCTGACCATAATCCTGTCAATCCAACACGCGGTCAGGAACTATGCATTGACTCAGTATGTGTCTTATGTAGGAATGTTGCGATTACTTCACAATACTGTAATTGGAGTGATCTTAGTGTAATTGCCTAAATGTCCTAAACCCACTGTCCTGACACCCTCCTGCATCTCTATCCATATCCCTACTTAATAGAGATATCACAGGAGAAAAATTGGCATGTAAGGCATAGAAATTTGATTTGTATTATGGCCCATTTTATAAATCCAATTGGTTCATTTTTGTTTTCATAGTACGGGATAATTTTGACTTTAACCATGTTTTTTGTTGTTGAAAACCATGGATACTGTTGTGTTGCCAAAAATTTATTTCCTCAAAACAGATAAATATAGAAAGTTATTGACTTAAATAAGTGATTAAGAAAGCAAAGTAGTGCGAGACAGTTTCAGGACAAGAAAGAAGTGTAGTGATGTGACCGACAAGACTCTTTAACTGTAGTCTTTATCAGGGCACTCTGTACATCTCATGACCTCTCCTCCTCACACTATACCTGCCCTACTCTCAAAAGCCTTGCACATTTGACCTCCGTATCTTTCTGATCTCATTTCTCCCTCAAGCATCGGTACACAATGCATCTTCTTTCTCCCAGTCCTGTGGTAGATATCATTATTTAAATAGTCTAAACGTGTTCATTTTCTCACAACTGGCTTTGGCTTTGACAGTTCATGTGGTCCGATCACATGAAAGTGCCCCACAGCGCTGCACCATTGAAGGAAACTGTTATTTATGGCTGTGCTGGAGGCTCCCACCCTTCCTGTGTCCACTGTAGCTAGAAGGAAGTCCATTGAGTAAAAGGAGAAGAGGGCAACACTTTAAAATGATTATTATAATAAAGGCGGTATCTTGTCACCACTAAACATGGAATGAATGGAACCAGCAGCATAAACCCCCTACAAAAAAGGAAAATAAATCATAGAAACGTGCACACAAAGTGAAAATGAACTCTTCTGGGTGAGATGGACTTCCAACATCTCTTTCCCCACATCCCCCAAACCTGAGGAACATTGGTGAAGCTGGGATTGGGCAGTAAATGGAAGATTTGTATTTTGACCCCTCTCCCCAATCATTAATCTTAAACTGTCTGATACAGCTTCACTACTCACTGCACCTCTGTTTATAAACATGTTTTTGTGTTCTAATCATTATCGATTATAGCTTAATATTGAAATCCCATTGAACTAATATGAAACACTACTTTAGTGATTTTAACTTCAGTAGATGTGAATCTTGGGGGATCCCGTGAGACACTTGTAGACTCTGAGGATGTGATGAGTGAGTCATGTAACGATAGTAAACGTCTTTCGGTTTTATTCTGCTCGCTGAGGGGAAGTCGTGGTACTTTTATCGGTCTCAGTCACACGAAGAAAAACAAAACTAGGAAGAAAACGACAAGGCAACAAAGTGATATAGTATATATAATATAGTAGTATTATGATAAAGTCTTATTTTATACATTAAATTCTCAGTGCAAAATAGACAAAGTTGTGCTCAACCTTAGCATTTGTTTTATTTGTTGAATAAACATAATCCAGTATAAACCCTGATGATTAGATACGATTGAACTTGTCCTTATGTAATGTATTCACTTCATTTTGATTTGCTTGACGGCCGTTCCATTCAGCCCTGTTTCATCTTATCTGATCTTTCTGTCAAATGGTCAGTTAAATGTTTGAGTCTTACATTTGAACCTACTGCACCTTATCGCTCTGCTCAGCATATTAGGCTGCAGTCAAATAAAATTAGAATTATTATAAAACGACAGTAAGCCGCTCCATTTTCCAGTGCAACATTTCTGTGGAAGAAATGTCGTGGGTCAAAAATCTCTTCTGTTTTTGATTTGATCGGTGTCATCTCTCCAAAAAGCTCATTTAAGTTGGTCCTAATTGCATAGTTGAATTTTCCAGGTAAAAATAGCATTTGTCCAAACAGAAAAGCATTCAGCCAACCCTTACCCTTGGTCTGACGCTGCTAACCCTTACACATCTTTACATTTGTTTTCCAGACGTACGGGCTGCATCGCCAGGACCAAAACACGGTGGAAATGTGTACGTTTGTCTGTAAAGTGCACGGGGACTCCCCTGCACAGCGCTCCGGACTCAAAGTCGGTGAGTTTTGGTCATTACTCGTTAAAAAAAATAACTCTTAAAAACCTATTGTGACTAAATGTGACGTGACAGTTGGAGCCACCTGCAATGTCAACAAAAACACTGGCTCTTTAGGGAAGTCCTAATGTTTACTCGCTGATTTTCCAGTTCACAAACACACTATACAAGGCCGTCGGTTTGTCTAAGCAGTGTGCCATGAAGTTAATGAGCTAAATCACCGGCCTAAGTAGGAGAAAATACTATGTACTTATAAGGGTCAAGGGGCCGGCGATGGTTTGTGTAGTCGTTAGTGGCCTCATCAATGACATCATCTTTACTCCATGACCTTTTGGCAATTGTCGACAAAGGAAAATGTGATGGGGCTTTTTTCTGATGTGGGATTTGTCACCTTGTGTTTGCTTGGACATGTCCAATTGCTTTGCTTGGAAATCCTCATGCCGTACTGTGTCCACAACATGCTGTTTTCATCTTATTAGAACGTGAGTCAGTGTTGTCTTGTTTTTATCCCAGAGCTGATCAGAGCAGTGAGAGTGGTCTTTTTTCTATAATTTTTTTTACCCCTTTTCTGTCTTGAAAAGGCTAAAAAACAGCGCATGTGAAAATTAGTGATGGCAGCAAACTGTTGAGCATGAATTGATGAGTTAGATGGATTTTATTCCATAGTTCCATGTTTTGTGGTTTGAAACAGTGAGGCACTCTTTGGCCTCTTTGGGATACTCTCATAAACTCTCGACAGCTCCTAAGTTGTCCCCCTCTGCGGCCGCTCGCTGTTCTCAGGAGCAGATTTTTTTGCCTCGTTAGTTCCGTTCATCTGCGGCTGTCACTTTGAGTTTCACTTCTTACATTCTTGTCGCGTTTGGCTCATTGTTCCTCTAAACCTGCGCCGCAGTGACCTCATCGTCGCGAACACAGAGGCTTTTCTAAAGGGACAGAAGAAGTGTGCGCTCAGCTGTGAAGACGGAGCGGACGTGTGGATTAAGAGCCGGACTTTCAAACTAGAGGGAGGTTTCATCTGATACTATGAGGTCACTCTGTGTAGAATATTCTGTGACATAAAAACACAAAATATTAGGAATGTGCATGAGTTGGTTTGCTATTGAAAAACTATTATTATTATAAATTATGACCCAGAAGATAAATAAATGAGCAATGTAAAGTTGGTCTTTTCTAAATAATTTTATCTCATTGATTAAATATTTTGAGGCAAGTTTATTTGTATAGCACAGTTCATACACAAGAGTGAATCCTTCAGTTGTATGCAAAGCTAAAGACTACCCTTTTCAAGCTTGATTTTGAACATTGTCAGAGTTGAAGCCTGTCTCACATTTTTAGGAAAACTCTGAAAGGCTGGCTCCCCATGTTCAGTCCTGACTCTGAGGAGCACAGGGACTGGCCTCCTGCTGGTGCCCAGAGTCTTGAGTTGCTTCATATGGCTTGAACATGTCACAGATGTTTTGGTGCAAGGTCAGTGCAGAGACCTGAGAACTGGACTAATGCGATCGTACTGCCTGGTTCTAGTCAGGTCTCAAGCTGCAGCGTTAGTATGAATCGGTTGTCTCTGATTTTCTATGCATTTTATTTCCCGCCTCTCGTATCAGCTTGGGTGATACTTGGTTTTGTATTGGATCAAAGCAACGTCACTCGTGAACACGGCCTCTGTGACATATATTGTTTCTGACCACAAGTGGAAATACAAGAAATACACTGCTAGTCATTAACAAACAGAGACTTTGAAGAGTTTTATTCTGGCTCTGAACCGTCTGCTGCACATTTGTGTCACACATGAAGTTTACGAGCTGTAAAAAAAGATGAGTCTCAGTCTGAAGTCTGGGCTGATTCGTGTTTGTGTCCTTGAAGCAACACTGGCTGTACTTTTGTCCACTGTATTTAGGTCCTATTGTGTGTGTGTGTGTGTATATACAGTAGAATGTGAGTTTATTTCGGTTGCCACTTTCTTTGGTAAAATTGGGTTAGTTTGGTCAGTATCTTAGCCAGCATCTCAGGGTTTTTTATTTTATTCATGATTTGATTTTTAGACTTTAGGGTTTAGGGAGTTTCTGAAAGAAACTTGACATATTGTGAGTTGCAGGCGACACCATCTCCAGTGTGAACAATGCTACAGTGGAAGGATTTCGACATAAGGAGATCGTGCAGCTCATCAAGGCTTGTGGCAACACACTCAGGTATTTACCACATCACCATCAGCTATTCTGTTGGTTAAAGCTTTTAGTTTGACATTAGACCACTGGTAAGAGTATTCATAATTGTACATAGTGAATGAATTCATGATAAGGATGCCTGCGTAGAAAATGATTAAGAAAAGCCATAAAAATAACGTACCATTAGTTGCAGTGGTCTAGACGCAGTGATATTAATAACACAGTGTAGAATGTCACAATAAAGTGTTTTGTGTTTCTATGGTCGATACAACTTCCCTTTGTTTAGTAGACGTCTAATTGAAGCCACCCTCCTCTTTTACGTCGCTTGTTAAACATTCAAAGGTCAATTAGCGAGCTCCTTCTGTAGCATCTGAAAGCAGGCAGTAAAAACTCTGAGGTTCACCACAACACAGACCAAAACGGCAGCATTTTACACTAATTAAAACAGTGACTCCTCTCAGTGTAAAAAGCATGAAATGGTGTTAGCGTCATGTGATCCAAAGAATTTGCAGCCATCATAGAGAATGGAAACTGTGTTACGCGGCCCTTCCTCTTGTGAAGTGTGAACCGTGGATTAGACGTCTGAAAAGAGGCTTTGATTTGGCTGCATGAGATGTTTTTATAGAATCCCTGTTTTTAATCCAAACTTTATTTTTCTTCTTTTTAGGCTGGAGACGGTTTACAGCGACTCCATCCGCAAAGCAGAACTGGAGGCCAGACTGCAGTATCTAAAGGTAGGTTTGAAACTTGTGTTCAAAGATTTTATTCACCTGCTTTTATTACACACGGACTGTAGTGTGTAATAAGTATGTATTTAAATATGTTTTTACTAAGGTTTAAGATGAAGCCTGTATTTTAAACAGAATATTGACAATGCTATTGTAATCGTTATGGACCGTGGATAGTTTTGATGGATTTATGATCAGTTTTGCATGTGGTTTATCAGATTAGTTATTTTTAGTTTTGAGACATATGCTCAGTGTCTCCCTCCAGCCAAATCTGATTATGAAAACATACCAAAACAAAAGCCTAAAAAAGGAAATATATTTTCTTATTATGCAATAAAATAAAAGGAGAAACAAATAAAGTTCATCCTACAAGCAAAAATGGTAGAATTTTAGCTATTTTTTTATGATGACTCCACTAATGTTGTTTTTTACTCAAGAATGGTGACTCAGTGGCAGAGGTCTTGTGATTCCTAATATTTTATTTTCCACTTTTTTGCATGATATTGCATTTATTGTTTAGAAAATCCATTGATTTTATATCCCATTTCTGTATATTCTAATGAATGCTAAAAAGAAAAAAAGAGGGGGAATGAATTAAAAAGGGGTACGTAAAAAAAACAAATACAGGAAGAAAACCGTAGTGAGGAAAAAAAGTCAAATTATGGTAAAATAAACCCCATAGATGTTGGTGTGGACCTCTCAGCTTTGACCTCATCTTGAAGTCAAAAGATGGCGTCTCTGGCCTAAAGTGGCCCTGGCAGCAGTTGTCGTGTCAGTGTCTGGTGGGTGCTTTGTCAGGTGCTCCTGTCCCTGTGAGTCAGCAGCAGCAGGAGCCACATTTAGCTCACCGCTCGTTCACCTGTTGGCTCTGATTGCACCTGTTGAAAGGCGCTCTGCAGACAACACACATGCTCCACATTCTGAGCATCAGCTGGACCTGTGCCCTGGACAAGTGTCTGTAGGAGACCAGCTGATGAGATTATCACAGCTGTCGGCCGATAATCCACTGAGGGGCCGCTTTTACAGAAAGTGATAGCCTGATGTATTTTATTACATTTAAAGCTGGGGTCCGGCTTTCACACCACAAGACACTGTTAAAAATTTAATGGTTTCTTACTCAAAGCGGTTTACATTTATACATACATGTTTGGCCTCTGTCATATTTTTAGATCAACTTTTTCAGATAATAATAATAAAGATGATGATATTTTTTATTTATGTTGCACCTTATATTTCCAGAAAACTTTCGAAATACAATGCCACAAACATACCAAAATAAAGCAAAAGCATCATAAGCACATAAATAAATCAAAAAGAAACATGAAGGGGAGATGGAGAGAACCACCCTCACTTGACCAATCAGCTCTCAACCCAAAGCATCTAACTGACTCACAGCTTAAGTTTTGTAAATAGTGTATTCTTGAATGAACGTTGTCTATGTGTCAACACTATAATGTTAGTCCTGAGTGATGTTGTCTCTGTCTTGTATTTTTATCACGGCCAGAGGACTACAGATGAAAAATAGGCTCCTTGGCTAATTCTGGATTTTTTAAACTCATGTTTAATCAGGTGTTTTATGAAATCGTTTCAGTTTAGTTTATTTTAAAGGGGACAATGCAGAGTTCTTTATTATTAATTAAACATAAGCTAATATAATAATACATCACAATATTGTGGTTTAAAAAGCATTTAACTTTGAGGATGGAATTGCTGCTTTTTTGATTCTCAAATGTGTTTAGTTCTTTCTACCTCATGACGTGAATAATACCAACATATTATGTTTTACTTGACAATAGTGACTCGGTGGCAGAGCTCTCGTGATTTTAGATGTTTTAAATTCCACTTGTTTCATAATATTGCATTGACGTTATCCAACATTTCTGCAGAGTGATTAAGTTTGCTGCTGTTGTTGTGCTCCTCAGTCTAAGGACACATGTGGGATCATTATTGGAGCGTGCGGTCACACATTTTTCACATTTCTCTCAAATTGATGCATTAAACGGCTCCACCATTATTCCCTGATGTTTATTCATGCTCTGCTCTTTTGTGTCTCACCAAAGTCATGTTTCAAACTGTCCGATGGTCTTTTCAGTCGTCTGCTGAACATCTGCAGTCTGACCTTTTGTTTAATAGTTTCATTTGAATATGTTACAGCCACTAATGCACAATATCTATCTTTTTCAGCAAACCCTTCATGAGAAATGGGACGAGTATCGGTCGCTGATGGTCCAGGAGCAGAGGCTGGTCCACGGTAAGTTTCTCAAAATAAAGTCTTTTGCATAAATCAAGACGTAATAAAAGAAGACGGACGTATACGGCTGTTTTCTATGACACCCATGGGACATTTCAAATATAAATATTGATCTAAAACGGTTAAAACAAACACATCTGGCGTCTGTGCTGAGAATTGCTGTGTTTTGCGTTTGCCTCTGCTATGGTAAATTACATACATGCATCCAAAGGTGTGTGCAGGGCTTAAAGTTTTCCGGCACCGTGCCGGAAATCCGGCGTGAGAAAAAAAAAAAAAAAACATCACTTTTTTTTTTTTTTTTTTTTTTAATATATATATAAATAAATAATGATTGCTGTCATTTGAAAAAAGGTTCAAGTGTGTTCTACCAATTGTATGAAAGGATTGCATGTGTATAGCGCAGGGATTAAAGAGTTCCGTCTAAGTGACGGATTTCCGTCAAATGAAATTGGTCTGAAAAAAAAACAAAATATATAATAATAATATAATACACACAATGAAATGGTTAATTATAACAAAATATATAGTAATACGTGTGAATCTTTTGTATATATCTAGATATATATTAATAATTTGAATATAATTGTATTTATATGTATATAGAAATAAAAAGTAACGAGTGGGCCTTGAACGTGCCGTGGCTAGCTACATGAGCGCTCCGTAAATGATTCAAGGCAATGGGACGTAGCCAAGTTAGCGATGGTAACACGGAGGTGATAGTTTCTGAAAAGTGCACGGAGCTTTTGAAAAGGAGAAGAGGACAAGGAAAATGTAATCCCGAACGGAGCAATAACAGCCAGCAGCCCGCGGACCGGTAAACTGGGCGCGTTATCAGAGGAAAGGTAGGACATAATTAACGTTTACCAAACGCAATGCTTTTTTATTTAACGGAATGTACAATATGTACTTTGCTGTGACTGGGAATGGGGACAAGCATGTCTTGGTGAGCTTTTGATAATATCTTGGTGGCGATCCGATCGCATGCAAAACTGCGTGATAAAAAGAGCCAATCAACGAGAGCGAACGGAAGAAACTCGCGAGAAAAGGTCTTGTGTTAGCAGGTCTTATATTCATTCATCAAAGCTAGCCTAGCATGCACGCACAATCACAATCATGGATCGTTGTTTATGGAAGAAGGAGCAGTATAAGTTGCTGTTGATAACGGAGTGAAAAATAAATGGAGGTGGGCATGGCTGGATGAGGTGGAGACGATGGGATTCTGTTGCTTCATGGTGCAAAAAGATGAAGGTGTCCGGTGCTTGTTCGTACTTCGCTATTATTATTTTTTTATATGGGAGTAATGAGAAAACAGCTTTGGATTCACCACCAGCTCAAAACTGCGCACTTGGCAGCTGTCCGTGCACTTTCCCACACTTCTTTACCTGGTGCATCAGATTCAGCGACAACTGAGACTAGGCTTGCTCTGGTGGACTGTGTCTGTGACCTAAAACTATCTGTGGCTTTATCGCAGAAAATAACCTGTCGTTCAGAACCATCACTACCGCTGGTAGATTTAATTATCATTAATCATTTGCAGTTGATAAAACTGCGCTGTGCACTAGCACCAAGTTGATAGGGAAACCTTTTTCTTAAACATTGAGTGTCCACAAACAAATGTGGACAGAATTTTGAATGTCCTTTTGCGATATTTTGACGAGGACAGAGCCAAAGGACAACGCCTCATCTCGCCTCAAGTAAAGCCAATGATGCAGATGAACTACTCTCACTAATATTCTGTCAAAGAGTTGACAAGTTGCTTGATCCACTGGTTGTAATTTCACATCAAAATACACCAGTTTAAATGTATATCTTTGAAGAATTCGTTTGATCTGTAATTCATTATATTTCCATGAGAAAATTTTCAGTCAAATCTTTTTTTTTTTGCTTTAACCCCTGGATGATGTATTTATTGCCAACAACTGATGTTTATAATAAACATCAGTTGTTGGCATTAAATAGATATAAATTATATGTATGAGCGTATAAAGGCGCTTATAAAAAACGCTTATTAGTGATCATTCTATGATTCATATAGATGGTTCAGGCTCAGGAATTTTTTCAACTTTAACCCATGTGTGTGTCTTTCTAACTTTAGCCTAGGACCAACAATTGAACATCATTTGACATTGTTTTGAAATACGCTACAAATCTTATGTACAGTTTTACAAACAAGAGACATGTTCAGGTACTTTGTTTTTATCTGAATATTTTAATCCAACGTCTAAAAAAAAAAAGATCAGTGTAATCTCTGCCGATTACTGATGTCTCAAAAGAAGACATGAAAATGGGCCACTGTGAGCGTTTTGTCTGATGTTCAATAGTCTTTCAACAGAAGTGGTCCTCCTCATGAGTAGTTTCACCGTTCCCTCTGGAGAGTTCTTAGTCTCCTGCTCTTCAGCTTGGACCTCAGCTCTTATGGAATGTCAAAGTGCTCTGGTTGGGGTGGTCAAAAACGGAATTTCCTACAAATCGGGGGATGCCAGTCCATGAATAAATTTAAAAACAAAAATACAATCTTGATATAATTACAAAATGTCTTTACCTAAAAACATGTACAGGTCTGGCACGGCGACCCCACTCCCCTGTGTGGAGTGAGAGACAAATGCCCACAACAACTTTAAAGCGCTTTGTGACTCTGCTCTGTGAAAGCTGCTATATAGATAAAGATTAATTATTACTTATTTACAGGAACTCATGTCAATTAAAGATTTAGTCCTGTTCCCAATTATGTGATTACTGATGTCATTGTTCTAATAGTATATTTAGCCCATTTCTTTTGTTGAATTTGAGCACAAAATAGAGGGGGAATTGTCTAAACCTGTATCCCTCGACCTAAAGCTTATTCCTTTGCGTCACAGGCATAGTGATGAGCGACGCCGCCATATACGAGTCCCTGGAGCAGGCCGGGATCTACGGCAGCATGGGCACCCCCAGCCCCATCACCGCCCTGAGGGGCAACTGCGGCACGGGCAGCACCAGCAGCAGCGCCAGCCACCTCAGCACCGCCACGGACGACGACCCGCTCTACCAGACCTGCCTGTACCCCCCCGGCGGCACCAGCGACTCGGACCACAGCAGCCAGAACGCCAAGCACAAACCGCTGCGCAACATCCAGAGGCGGCTGCGTCCGGCCAGCGAACTGTTCACCACGGCCAAAACACACCTCACCCGCAGCGCCAGCACCCGGAGCTACACCAGGCCTCAGTCGGAAACCATTACCCCAGCGGAGAAGCAAGGAGGGTTCAGCTCTCTGCAGAGGAAGAATAAACCAAAGAGCTTTCGAAGGCGCCTCCTCAAGTTCATTCCGGGTTTGAATTTGCCGCTGGAAGAGGAGGAGAGCAAATTATAACCAGCCATGACCGTAATCCGTGATCATAACACTCTAAAGGGCGTCGGTGAAATCAAAATGGAGGATGGGTCTGAATAAGAGACGGTATATATCGTTTATGTTGAGTAACTGATGCATCTATGAACATGGGACAGATATTTTTGCACTACAGTCAAACCACTACTTACTACAGTAAGTGACCAGTAAAGTAGTTTCACACTTTGAGTTGCTACACTATACTTTTTGTTTTGTTTTTGGGGGCATTTTGTGCAAAGTCAATTCAATGTTTTCCCATTGTGTTGATCCAATCAAAGTTGTATTGGGAGTGATTCAAGCAAGTTTGAATGATCTTTTATAGCCAGTGTTCAAGCTGCAGTGGCTACAATAGCACCTGATTCTCCTGCCACAGGTACATTCCTACTATTCTTTATAGAGACTTTGTTCTCCACCTAATCTCTGATACATGTATGTATTTTAGGCAATATAGAGATCTATTTTTGTCAAAAATATAGAGCAGACCAAAGCACGATGTTGTCTTTTTTAAAATTGTAAAACATTCAATTTGTTCATATTTGACCATTTTCAGCAATCCAAAATCTATTCTACCGGGTATTGATCCCTGAAATATCCTTTTAAGCATCAAAATGAATCCATATTTGATCCCGACTTGGCCCTGTCCTCCAGCGCTGATACTGAGACCCAAAGACGATTATCACCAAAGAGTGAAATAGACCAAAGCCTTTGTGTGTTGACTAACAGACGTTTCAAGATTGTACATAACTTGTGTTTAAATTATTTATTTATTTTTAAATTGTCAATGTACAGAATTCTGTTTTTGTTTGTTTTTACTGCATACACCACATTTGCTTAAATCAAAATTATGTAAAAAATCTTTTGTACGTTTTTAGGCTTGTCTAATTTTCTAAAAATAAACAGCAGTTGCATTTTTGTATTTGTTTTGAATTGTGTTTTCTTTGGTTTTTCGTGATGAATAAAATGTTAGAAAAGCAATATGTAAGAACAGTGCGTGAACATTGAGGAATGCAAGTTAAATTTGGGAAAACATTCGTGGGAAAGTGGTCAGAAAGTTCAAATTAGTTACACACCTCGTATCTGATTTTTAAAATGTGGTCTGCTGTGTTTTTAACATTTGTCTGATCAAGAACGACCTTTGTGTTGCCTGTGGCATCGACAACACTTTCTACACAAGCTTCCATTGCAGCCCACATGAGCGCTGATGGGAAAGTGGTTTAAGTTAAAATTAGAAACGTTCTTCTCCAAATTTAGGTGCGAATGCGATTTGTGATGGTTTTAAGAAAAGGCCATGACCCAAAATGAGGCCAAATTGCATTAGTATTTACCTCAAAAAAAACAATTGGAGTTGTGATGGGGAAGTTGACGGCAAAGTTAAAATTCAAAACCAAATCCTATAATTAAACCCGCAAGCGGCGTCAAACGGCCCTCGCCACACCGTGCGACTCCCCTCACCGTGGCGCACCGTGCCGCCTCACACCACGCCGCACCGCTTATTTAATTATCTGTATCTATAGTTGATAATCACATTCACGAGGCCTTTTGCATTCAATGATTTGCTTCTAACATGAGGTTTCATCACTGACCAAAAACCCTGATGGGAAAGTGGTTCCAAAGTTTAAAATTAGTAAAGTTATCAATCCGATCTGTGCTTTTATATGTGGTCGGTGATGCTTTGGGCCATTCTGCTTGGGTCCTGAAGAGAGCTGGCTGTTGTTGGCCTGAGTGTATTGTCTGTAGCATCGCGTGGAATGTGCAGAGAAAAGTATGACCCTAAATTCCTCACACAAATGCTTTCTTTCAGTTCCTTCAGACTGCAGCGATCGGGCTGAATATTCCCAGGCTGAGGCTTTTGTCCCCTGGTCAGTGTGGGGGGAGACACAGCTGACCCAGAGCAGCTCATGTGGTCACTCTCCAGTCACACAAGTGCTATGTGCTGCAGCCTCCGCAAAGGCATGTGTATTCAAGGGTTTAGAGAAACAAACACTTAAAGTTTTATAGAGGCTTTGTCATTCAAGATGCAGACACAAGAAATAACTATAAATCAGTCCAAAAAAAAAAATCTTTAATACTTCTCAAAAAAATTGTTTTATCTGCTGATCTGAAAATATATTTTGAACTAAATGTATGTGTAATCTGTCCTTCACAAAATGCACATATATATATAGACATAACATTCAAGGGATCAGGTCAAGGCGACTTGTCTCTGTTGTTTGGATTTTAACACGTGGGGTCTGCTCTTGTTTCGATGTGACGTAGAGTGTAGTGTATAATGCTTTCTCGGTTTTCATTTTGTCAGAAAAGCTGAGGTTAAAACTTCCCGGTTACTCTGGTGCGTCAAAAGTTCGTCATTTTCAACACTTACTGAATGATTTGTGGTAATTCTAGGACTTGTGTTTTCACTAATACGGCTTGTTCCATCAGAAAGCGAATATGCATTAAACAAAACTAATACTTGACTGAATAGATTATTTGCTTAGTCAATAAATAGACAGAGATGTGTTCCTTTTGTCTCTGCATTTTGGAAGCAATCATGTGAATAGGCCTAAGCTGAAAAACTGTCAAAGCTTCATTCAATTTATTATTATTTATCACAGTATACAATCAATTTCAAAATGATTGCAGTAGTTATATGCAGTTATAGCATAATATATTTCATTTTTTGTCTTGTTTGCCTTCCTCTCTGTGCTAATAATGCTCTTTGTGCTGGGTCATTAGAATGGCTGTTAATAAGGTGCAAACGAGGATTCCAATGGCCTCAGAGTGACGCCTGGACATCACTGGAAAACACTGCTGCATCAAAAAGAAGAGACATTTTACTAAATATACAATGTTATATTTTCCATCAGAGGTGGAGAAGCAGCAGCAGCAAAGCACTATAAACAACTCTGTACGTGATTATTATAATGATCCCTTTTGTTTGTTTGAGAAAAAGAGGAAACTGAAGCTCGTGGGGAAACGGTCTGTACCAATGACAATCAATCTACGTCATTTACAACCCTCAGTGATTGGTGCTTTGCTCCTGAACTCAAGTATGTACTTTTGTAACTTGGCGTGTGTTCCCTTAGAAGGGGTAAGGGAGGTGAGATCCCACTGCAAAAGCAAAACCTTACAATAACAAATAATGTGTTGAATGTGTCAGTTCAGTCCATAGTTTGTGCTCTATGAACAGTTTGGTTCTCACTGACGACCACATGTGTTCTTGGCCTCTGTCACATCTTTAGAGCTTAGATAATATTTGTGATTTACATAATGTTTTATTACTCATAGACAAACGTTATTGTGAATGAGCCGCTTCTCTTCAGATTAGCTGGGTTCTGTCTCACAAAATGAAATGAAAGAAAAAACAGGCCAATCTAGAATGATAAACCTCCCACTAGTTAGAGTCATTTTAGCAGTGGTGCAGTGGTTAGCGTTTGTGCTTCACAGTAGTAAGTAGTAAGTAATCTTTATTTATATACCGCCTTTTCACTGCAGATCTGAGTCTCAAAGCGGTTTACAATTGTTAATTATGGGCATTTGTCTCTCACTCCACACAGAGATGGGAGCAGGGTCACCAGTACAGGAGGCACATGCCAGAACTATTGTACATATTTTTAGTGGTAGGGGAAACCGGAGTACCCGGAGGAAACCTACGCAGACACGGGGAGAACATGCAAACTCCACTCAGAAAGGCCCTGGTCCGACCGGGATTCGAACCCAGGACCTTCTTGCTGAGAGGCGAGAGTGCTATCCACTCAGCCACCGTGCCTTTCACAGAAAGAAGATCCCGGGTTTGATTCCTCCTCCAGGCCTTTCTGTGTAGAGGTTTCCTCCAGGTGCTCCAGTTTCCCCTACCACTAAAAATACACACAATAGGTTTCAATCAAGAAATCAAATTTATTTATAATGCACAATTCATACAGTGTACCCCAAAGTGTATGTAATGAGAGTGAGTGGATGGAGCTGGTTCGGGGCTTTTGATGCACCAGTGTGTTCTTCGTCTCACTACTGTCTGTGGGAATTACTGGTGCATCAAAAAAAGTGCTGTAAGGGATCTCGGTCTGTGAAATGCGCTATATAAATAAATATTACCAACTCAATCACTCACTACAGTGTAGGAATAGGCTGCTTGTTAGTTGGGGGTGGTACAGTCTGTAGCTGGTTTCGGGGCAGGAGGGGGGGGGGTGTCTTTGAGGATGTGACAAAACTCAGCGGAAATCCAGCATGTGATAAGACCGAGACGGGTTTGCACAGAGGCTCGTCACACGCACAGGCTTCTCTGGGAGACAAGACTTTCCACATGTCACTGATTATACAAGTACTGACCATGTATATTAGTATGTACAGTATATAGCGCATATATACTACAGTTATTATATCACATATTAATGACTGTATGCATATATGAAAGATGATATGTAATTAGGTTTTGGAGCCATGTTTTGACAACAAACTACTTAATCGGTCCTGAGAAATTGCACTATTGGAATTAGGTTAATGTTTTGTAAACGTTTATTGTAGGAAGTTAGATCATTCTGAGGAATAGGGTTTGAAGATTACATTTTTTGTCCATTTGCCGTTAAAAACCACATTGGAATGAACTGAGCTCCAGAGTACAAATACACAGTACAAATATTCAAAATCATATTCAGTTTTCTACTTCTTATCACTCCCTTTTGTAAAAATAGTAATTTAAAAAGGAGATATGGTATATTTTATTTGTTTGTTGACTAAAGGTGAACCTCGGACCATTATAATATCGAATGTTAGTTTAGTTCTGTAATTCAAGCTAAAAAGTGAAACCAATGATACCACAAAGTGACAAAGTGCAAAGTGCCTTTGTTGTTTGGTGATTATGGCTCACAGTCCCATTTTCATAATATTTTCTGAGATGTTTTATGCCTTTTTATCTGTAAGCCAATTATCATCATTGTAATTATTATTATTTCACTATCTCACATTGGTTTCACATTTTAAGTTGAATTACAGATGTAAATGGCCTTTAA